GGCCACAGAGCTTGGACCCCACACGAGGGTGAGGCTCAGAGCTCCCCTCTAGAGCAGACTCGGCGGAGAGGGGCTGAGGGTCTGAGGCGGGCAGGGCATGGACGGCCTTGAGCGCTCCAGGACCAGCGCATCTGTCGTGCTCACACCCGCACCTAGTAGGCGCTTCACGACGTCCACTGCATGGAGGTTCTTCAGCATTCTCACTTTGTGAGGAAATGTCACACCTGTGTTCACCATCACTGCTATTTTTAGCTCTAAGTACCTACTACTGGTCAGTCATTTTGCACACATCATCTCACTGATCCTTACAGCAATCCCATGAGGTAAGATTTCTACCCCCAGTTAACAGGCAAAAAAACCTGAGGCTCAGAGAAGGGAAGCAGCTTGTCCCAGGTCACACAGCGGGTGTGAGCCAAGCCCACGTTCTCACCAGCGGTGCTGACACCCCTGGCCGGGGTCTCTCCCCACCAGGACTTTTCTCCAGAGAAGGCGCCAGGCCTGAGGAAAGAGGAGATGCCAGCGCCCACCCCACCGCCCACCCCCACATGAGCAGCCCCCAGGCCCGGCTCCTGCCGGGCTGGAGGCCCTGAGCCCCACCACATGGCCACCCAAGCTGCCTTCATCCTTCAGAGCCCTGCTGGGCTGGCACCAGGGAACCTGGCCTCCTCCCTCATAAAAGGGGAACCGTGCCACCCGCCCCCTGCCTGGTGCACGGAGGTGTCAGGACGGACCGAAAGAGGCGAAAGTGAGCACTCCGTGCCTCAGGGCTGTGCTGGACCGCTGGCTGAGGAGCTGGGGTCTGTCTGAGCACGACTGCGTGTGAACGCGAGTGTGTGTGAATGTGGGTGTGTGCGGTGGTGAGCGTGTGGGTGAGGCATATGCTCGATGTGCGACTGTACGCACGTGTGTTCATGGGTAGGCATGTGAGAGGGTGAGTGTGAGTGATTAGAGGGGCCCGGGTCACCCGCTCTTAGGCGCCGGAGGGGACCGCAGGCAATGACCTTGACCTACCGGTTCACCATCCCCGCCGTCTACATCCCCGGCCTGGCCCATCAACCCCCAGTGAGGGGCTGATGGGCAAAAGTCGGCGTCCTTCCCCGCGCAGGAGCCCTGGGCAAGGCGTGTGAGCGCCTCCGTTTCTTCCCTGCAAAGCGGTTCGCTGCCCACCCTGCGCGCCGCACCCGTACGCTGGAGCCTCCCCGCCCCCGCCGCCCTTCCCTGCCCTTCACCCCGCGCCCTGGCGGCCCGAGGGCCTCCTGCGTGTCGCGAGGTGAGGGGGCCCTGGCCGTGCCGGTGGGACGGGGGCCCGCGCCGGGGTCGCGCGCAGTCCCTCGGCCGCTCGAGGAGCCTGGGTGGGGGTGGGGGGAACCACGCGCCCTTGCCGGCGGCCGCACCCCACCGGCGCCCGGGGGGACACGGTGCCCCGCCTGCATCCACACCCCACCAGGCGGCGGAAGCGGGGTCGCTCCCTTCCCGGCGGCGGCCGCACACCCCTGCCTGGGGCGGGGGGCACGGAGCGTCTGGCGCCCCGGCCTCTCTGGAGGGACTCGGGGCACTCGTGGCGCAAGCCGACCCCCGTTCCCACGCCCCCCGAGACACAGGGCCCACCGCTGTCCGCGTACCCCGCTCACTGTCTTCAGAGTGCCTGAACCCACCGCGGCAGGGGTTGAGGGGGTGAACAGAGTCTAAAGAAGGCCCCCCCCCACTCCTGCAGGCGCCTCACCCCACCCCGGCCCGTCAGCGGACAGGCGGGGACAGACGGCCGGGCCCCTAGGAAGCCTCGGCCTGTGTCTCCGCCCAGCTCTCTGCTGCTGCCCGCTGGTGCCTGACCCCTGGCTGTCCCTGGGGAGGAACCAGGGAGCCCCCAGGAGCCGCCCTGGGGCGCGGTGTGGGGGCAGGGAAGGGGTGGGCAGGTGTTGGAGGCTGTGCAGGGTCACTTCACCCCACAGCGGGAGCAGCTGGGCCCAGGTGAGGGGGCACAGACCCTGGCTCCCTCTCTGTGGTGTGAAGCCAAACCCACTGACCCCAGGCGTGGCTTTGGGGGGCTGCCTCCTCACCCCGCACCCCAGCTCTTAGGTGTGGAGGGGTCACCAGGTCTTGGGAAGGGGCTGGGCCAGCTCCAGGGGACCCGCCCTGGGAGAAGGGGGGAGAGGGCGCCTCTGGTGCCTGAGGGCTCTGCTCACTAGGCCACCTGGGGGTTCCGGAGGCAAGTGGCTCAGGATGTCTCAGGAGGGTGGGATCGTGGGTGGGGGTTGGGCTGTGTGAGGCTCTTGCGTTTATTCATTCATTAAACTGATGTCAGCCTGACACTTACTGTGTGCCAGCCACTGTGTACATGCTGGGCGCCCAGAGGCGGTGAGCCCAGCACAGCGTCTGCTCTGAGGCCTCCAGCCTGGCCAGAGGGGAAGGCACTGTTAAGAGTAGAGAGGACTCAAGTTTCTTCGGAACCAGCAGCCTTTTGGTGTGCTCCAGAAACCCGGAAGGCTGGGCAGGCTCCTGGTGTTGGGGTCCGGGTGTTCCCTTTCCTGTGACTCTCCCGCACACTCGACTGTCCTGTGACAGCCTCTGGAGGTCCAGCCCCAGGGGCACTTGCCTGCGAGCCGCACGCCAGGGTGCTGCTGTCAGGACGGGGGCGGGGGCTCGGGTCCTCTGGCGCCCCCGCACCTGGTGCTGGGACCCTCTGCCCTGCCCTTCGTGTGCGGTCACTCTGAGGCCTCCACCCTTCCTGCAGAGGCTCGGGCCCCTCGCTGTGTATTCTGACCTTGTACCCTCCTGAGGGGGTCTGCCCACTCCCAGTGCCAACATGCCTGCAGGCACAGAGGCGCAGAGAGGGTGAGCCCGCTTGGTTCTGGGGGTCTTGAACTCCTGAGTGGAGGCCACCTGCCCCTCTAGCTGTCACTGCTCCTCCCAGAGTGCGTATGGCTCACCAGGTGCTGGTGGGCACGTTCCAGGCACAACTTGCCAGTCTGGGGTCTGTACTAGCACAGCCCGCATTTTACAGAGAGGGAAACCGAGTCTGGGGCTGCATGGTTAAGAAAGCAGAAGCGAGGCTTGACCGCAGTTATGCCGGCTTCGGAACCTGTGCCCTTGTCCTCTGTACCACACAGCCAGCCGTGGGACCCAGGGCTGGCCTGCCTGCTCCTCTCCAGCCCGAGGCTTCCAAGAGCCTCTGAGTCTCCACGTGCTAAGCTGCTCCATCGTGTCTGACTCTGTGCCACCCTACGGGCTGTAGTCCTCCAGGCTCCTCTGTCCATGGGATTCTCCAGGCGGGAGCACTGGAGTGAGTTGCCATGCCCTCTTCTAGGGGATCTTCCCGACCCAGGAATTGAATCCATGTCTCTTAATGTCTTCTGCATTGGCAGGCGGGTTCTTTACCGCTGGCGCCACCTGGGAAGCCCTGGGAGTCTCCACACCCGCATCAATTGCTAACAACAGCCCCGTACTCCACGTGCCCAACTCGGCAGCCCGAAGCCAGGCCAGAGACTGCATCCTGCTGCTGCCCATGCCCATCCCAGAGCCCGTACGCCGCTGGAACTCCCCAGCCAAACCCCAGGTTTCAGGCCGCACGTGAGACAGCCACCCCACCCAGCCCTGGGCAGCAGTTAGCTCCCTCAAGCCAGGCCTGAGAGGGTAGGAATGTGACTTTGGAGCCGGCCATCCTGCTCTGCGACCTCAGCAAGTTACTTAACTTTGTGTATATGTTACTTAACCTTGTGTATATATCTCGGTGTTCTCATCTCTAAAATGGGAATAATACTGCCATGGAAGTCTTAGGGGTACTGAAAGTGATAGTCGCTCAGTCATGTCCAACTCTTTGCGACTCCATGGACTGTAGCCCGCCAGGCTCTTCTGTCCATGGAGTTCTCCAGGCATGAATACTGGAGTGGGTTGCCAATCCTTTCTCCAGGGGATCTTCCCAACTCAGGGATCGAGCCCAGGTCTCCTGCGTTACAGGCGGATTCTTTACCAGCTGAGCCACCAGGGACACTGGGAGGGGATTAAGTGACTTAATTCATGTAAAGCACTCAGACCGCTACCTTGCATGTGGCAATCCCACTAAGTGTTAGCTGTCACTTTAGTTTTTAATTTTTATTACTATGCTTCTGTGCAGACAGCTAATCCAGACCCTCTTGTCTGGGAAAGGGGAAGCTACAGGGGCTTTGAGCACCATCCTGCCTTGTAGGAAAAGACACATGTGAGGAGCTGAGGGTTTGGGGAAAGTGACTGTGCCCAGATGGAGGCCCCAAACGCCTTTCCTCAGAGCTGTTTTGTGTTGTCTTGAGTGCTTATCCTGAGCTGACTGAGGCATCACTCTCCTGACCTTGTTAGACCCCATTCAACCCTAAAACGGGGGCATAGGGCTCAGAGATGGCAAGGGTCTTGGCTGAGGTCACACGGGCAGGATCCAGAGAGGCAGGATCTGAGTCCAGGACTGCATGATCTTGGAGCCTGAGCATAGAAACCCTGCCTTTTGCTTTCTCGTGTCCCCACTTGGAGAGGGGTACGAGCATGTGGCCCGTGCTTGCGACATTCAGACTCTGGGAAAACGCCAGTGTTAGCATTTGGTTTGGCTTTCCTGCCGCCCGCGGTGACAACCTGTACAGAGCAATCTGTGTCTGCCCGCCTCTCTGCAGCTCCAGGTCTCTCCATGCCCATCTCCTGCCCCTGGGGCTGAAACTGTTTGCCTGCCCCTTCCTGCCTCAGCCCACTCCTCCAGACCACCCGTCACCCTCCTGGCCCCACCCTGGGTCCAGTGCCCTGGGAGCTATGAGTTGTGAGACTGAGGAGTTCCTTCTGGAGGGTCAAGCGCCTGATGATGCCTGGGAGGGGCCGCAAGCTCTAATGGGGCCGCCCAGGGCACCCCCAGCATGCCCAGTGCTCTGACCCCTGACTGTGACCCCTCCATCCCCCCTGACTGTGACCCCCCCATCCCCAGCACCCCCAGTGCTCTGACCCCTGACTGTGACCCCCATCCCCAGCAACCCCAGGCCCATCTCACCATGGCCCGGCAGAGCCCATGAGCAGAATCCCTCTGGGCACCGTGGGGAGACTGAGGAAGCGGGGATGGGGCCATGCCCTTTAGAAGCTCGCAGTCTGAGCCAGGAGACACCGCCTTGTCCTTGCAGTTTTGTCTTGTGGGGGAGGCAGGACACACACACTTGGAAAAACAGCCTGAGGACCCTCTCAGGAGATCAACACTGGTCAGCGGTCAGAGTACAAGCTCTGGAGTCCCAGACTGGCCCAGGTTTGAGCCTCATTTCTGCCACTTATGAGTAGGTGACATTAACCTCTCTGAGCCTCACTTTCCCCATGTGTAAAATGGGTGTGAGTGAGTGAGTGAAGTAGGTCAGTCATATCTGACTCTTTGCGACCCCATGGACTGTAGCCCACCTGACTCTTCTGTCCATGGGATTTTCCAGGCAAGAATCCTCGAGGGGGTTGCTATGCCCCCCTGCAGGAGATCTTCCTGACCCAGGGACTGAACGCAGGTCTCCCACACTGTAGGCAGACGCTTGACCATCTGAGCCACCAGGGCGGTCAGAATGGGCATAGCAGTGCCTAATTTGCAGAGCTGTTGTTTCTCTCTCTGTCTCTGTCTTTTGGCCACCTGGCTTGCAGGATCTTAGTTCTCTGACCAGGGATTGAACCTGGGCCCCCAGCAGTGGAAGCACTGAGTCCTAACCTCTGGACCATCAGGCGCCCCCCTTCAGGGTCTGGAGGACCCCCGTGCTGCCACGGCGACCCGGCCTGTTCTGTGCCCAGCCTGTGGTGGAGGGGTAGTCAGAGAAGGGATCTCAGACGCTGGGTTCAGGGGAGTGGGCTGTGGACTGGGAAAGAGCGGGTGCTCCACAGCGCCTGTAGGGGAGGAAGGCGCCTCCAGGAGTGTAGGCTGGGGGTCTCCGCAGGCTGTCCCCCAGCCCCCACCCAAGTGAAACGTTGTGTTTTTCCAGTTGCCTGTAGTGATGTGGCTGCTGGTCCCAGCTGGGTGAAGCCTGTGATTTCACCCGGGGAGGGTTCATTACTGACGTCTCCATGGCAACCAGTCTATGACATCACAGGGCCAGAGTCCTCAGGGGGAGAAGGCGGCTTTGGCAGAAGCATCTGCACCTCTCCTGAGCTGGGGGGGCAGGAAAGCTGGGGGGGGGCTGAGAGCAGGAGTCCAGGTCTGCACCATGTCGACAAATGGCCTTGTCTGAGTCCCATCTCCTCCAGGCTTCAGCGTCACCTGCCAGCTCCCCTCGTTCCTGCTCTGTGGTTGCAGTTTCCAAACAGCTTCTGGTGACAGGTGGGGGCCTGGAGGGAGCCCTGCACCCTCGGGAGTTCCCGGGGCAGCTGGTAGCCAGTGTCACCTGGCCTACATCTTGGAGGCCCTGGCTTGTGGGTGCAGGAACCCTCAGAAGGCAACTTTCAAACTTTTTTGACTGGACCCGTAAGAATAAATGTTTCTTGTATCATAACCCAGGACACACACATAGAAAATTCTTACTGTGCATACATGGATGTCTTTCCAATTCAAAAGAGGCTTCATGAAATAAGACTTAAACTGATTGTACAGTGGGTTCTCATATTTTCTGTTCTACCCCATTCTGTTTCGTTCTTTTAAAATACGATCCAGGAAATTGCTTGCTTGACCCACTGAAGGTTTTCCCCTCGCCCCCCGCCTGGTTTGAACATCAACTCTGAAGGGCCTGGAGCATGGCCTCTGTACACTGGACAGTCTGAAGCCCAGTGAGGGGCAGGATTTGCCCAGGGTCACACGGCCAGAGCTGAGGGTAAGGAGCACAGTGTGTTGCACACTCCGGGCGCACCCGGCTCCGCCCTTACGGTCCTGCACTGCCCTCACTGCTCCTAGTTCCCGGATTGCTGAGCTCTGGATCCAAGGGCTACAGCTTAACCTGACCCCACTTCCCTTTTCTCCAGTCCCTGCCCCAGACAGTCTCACTGAACCACCCCGACCTGCTGGCCCAGAATACCCTTCGGGCAGATCACAGAACCCTCTCACCTCTTTTGGACACAAATCTAGTCCATCCAGTTTGAATGCCAGCTTTCCTCTCCCGTCCCAGCTGACCCTCCCCTCATCCCCCGTGGCTGAGGCTTGTTGTTGTTCCGTTGCTAAGTTGTATCGGACTCTTTGCGACCCCATGGACTGCAGCACGCCAGGCCTCCCTGTCCTTCACTATTTCCCATAGTTTGCTCAAACTCATGTCCATTGAGTCGGTGATGCCATCCAACCATCTCATCCTCTGTCGTCACCTTCTCCTCCTGCCTTCAGTCTTTCCCAGCATCAGGGTCTTTTCCAGTGAGTCGGCTCTTTGCATCAGGTGGCCAAAGAACTGGAGTTTCAGCTTCAGCATCAGTCCTTCCAGGGACTGATATTCAAGGTTGATATCCTTCAGGATTGACTGGTTTGATCTCTTTGGAGTCCAAGGGACCCTCAAGAGTCTTCTCCAACAGCACAGTTGGAAAGCATCAATTCTTCAGCACTCAGCTGGCTGCACCCAAAGGTCATGGTCTGCTCTTTGCTCTGCTGGCCTCTCTCTCCTTTGGGTCCCATTCTGTGGCATGCTGCAGTTCAGCGCAAAAAACTTGAGAAAAAATGGGGCAGAGGTCATTTTGCATTTGTACCCATCTGGAACTCTCACAGTCTCCCTCGGCTACCCCTGGCTCACTGGTGACTCCTCTATGTAGTTGGCACCCGAATGTTCATTCCTTCGTTCTTACATCAAATATTTAACGAGCACCTACTACGTGCCAGACATGCTGGAACGTGAAGTCAAGTGGGCCTTAGGAAGCATCACTATGAACAAGGCTAGTGGAGGTGATGGAATTCCAGTTGAGCTATTTCAAATCCTAAAAGATGATGCTGTGAAAGTGCTGCAGTCAATATGCCAGCAAATTTGGAAAACTCAGCAGTGGCCACAGGACTGGAAAAGGTCAGTTTTCATTCCAATCCCAAAGAAAGGCAATGCCAAAGAATACTCAAACTACTGCACAATTGCACTCATCTCACAGGCTAGTAAAGTAATGCTTAAAATTCTCCAAGCCAGGCTTCAGCAATACATGATCTGTGAAATTCCATATGTTCAAGCTGGTTTTGGAAAAGGCAGAGGAATCAGAGATCAAATGGCCAACATCCACTGGATCATCAAAAAAGCAAGAGAGTTCCAGAAAAACATCTATTTCTGCCTTATTGACTATGCAGAAGCCTTCGACTGTGTGGATCACAATAAACTGTGGAAAATTCTGAAAGAGATGGGAATACCAGACCACCTGACCTGCCTCCCGAGAAATCTGTATGTAGGTCAGGAAGCAACAGTTATAACTGGACATGGAGCAACAGACTGGTTCCAAATAGGAAAAGGAGTATATCAAGGCTGTATGTTGTCACCCTGCTTATTTAACTTATATGCAGAGTACATCATGAGAAATGTTGGGCTGGAGGAAGCACAAGCTGTAATTAAGATTCCCAGGAGAAATATCAGTAGCTTCAGACATGCAGATGACACCACCCTTATGGTAGAAAGTGAAGAATTAAAGGGACTCTTGATGAAAGTGAAAGAGGAGAGTGAAAAAGTTGGCTTAAAGCTCAACATTCAGAAAACTAAGATCATGGCATTCAGTCCCATCACTTCATGGCAAATAGATGGGGAAACAGTGGAAACAGTGGCTGACTTTATTTTTTTGGGCTCCAGAATCACTGCAGATGGTGATTGCAGCCATAAAATTAAAAGATGCTTACCACTTGGAAGGAAAGTTATGACCAACCTAGACAGCATATTAAAAAGCAGAGACATTACTTTGCCGACAAGGTCCGTCTGGTCAAGGCTATGGTTTTTCCAGTGGTCATGTATGGATGTAAGAATTGAACTATGAAGAAAGCTGAGCACTGAAGAATTGATGCTTTTGAACAGTGGTGTTGGAGAAAACTCTTGAGAGTCCCTTGGACTGCAAGGAGATCCAACCAGTCCATCCTAAAGGAGATCAGTCCTGGGTGTTCATTGGAAGGACTGATTTTGAAATTGAAGCTCCGATACTTTGGCCACCTGATGCGAAGAGCTGACTCATTTGAAAAGACCCTGATGCTGGGAAAGATTGAGGTCAGGAGGAGAAGGGAACGACAGAGGATGAGATGGTTGGATGGCATCCCCAACTCAATGGACATGGGTTTGGGTGGACTCCAGGAGTTAGTGATGGACAGGGAGGCCTGGCGTGCTGCGGTTCATGGGGGTTGCAAAGAGTCGGATACGACTGAGTGACTGAACTGAACTGAACGTGCCAGGCCCTGGGCAGGTACTAGGGCCATTGTGGCAAATAAAACAGAGTCCCAGCCCTCCCAGAGTGCGTGTTCTAGGGGGAAACCATGAACAAGGAAACAGACACATGCTTTGTGGAATGATGGGTGTAAAACAGGGTGAGGGGCTAGAGAGGGGCTGGTGTCCTGTTAAATGAGATGGTGGGGGAGGCCTCACTGAGGTTTTACCATCTGAGCAGAGACGTGGGCGGAGTGAGGTGTGAACTGTGTTCGGGGGGAGAGAGTCCCAGATGGAGGAAAGAGCGGCCGGCACACCAGATGAGATGGTTGGATGGCATCACCAACTCAATGGACATGAGTTTGAGCAAGCTCTGGGAGATAGTGAAGGGCAGGGAAGCCTGGCGTGCTGTAGTCCATGGGGTTGCAGAGAGTCAGACACAACTGAGCGGCTGAACGAGTCAAAAGTGGGTTGACGGCTGGGGCAGCAGAGCTGGTTTCATCCACTTTGAAGAGGGCGTCCGCTCCCCCAACCCCACGTCCACCCTCTGAGTGGCTTTCTTCAAAAGTGGGGCCCTCAAAGCCTCCTGGGTCTCAGTTTTGGATCCAAGTAGACAATTCCCGAGGAACGAGAACCCTCTCCCTCAGTTGCCTGTTTTACAGATACGGAAGTGGAAGCTAGGAGAGGTGAAGTCACTTGTTTAGGGCCCACAGGAATGAAGGGCGGACTCGGGATTTGAACTGGACAGTCTGGCACCAGAGCCTGAGCCAGCTGTCTTCAGAGCAGTTCTTTGGGAGCCGACCCTGAAACTGGGATTTGGGTGTGACCGGAATGTGAAGGGAACCTTCCAGAGGAAACCATTGCAGAAGTGGGGAGAGCGGGGTGGAGGAGACGCAGCCAGGAGAGGATGTCCGTGGTCCTGCAGGGGGTGGTCTCAGCCTGATCCCACCTGGGACTCTGGGATGAGAGTGAAGCTCAGAGTGTCCCACCCGAAATACAGTAGCTGGGGCCCTGCCCCTCTAGTCACGGGCGAGAGCAGCCCAGCTTCTCAGCTAGTTTCAGCCCAGTTTCCCTTGGGCAGCCGTCTAAGAAGAGCCTCAGGAGTTGCCTGGTGGAAGCCCAGCCTGCGGGGTGGGGACTGTGGGCGACAGAAGCAGACGGGGGTCCACGGGGGTCTGGGGGGCTGGGTGGAGCGCCCACAGCCTCCTCTGCCCACTTCCCCTCCTTGTAACCCCCCATCTCTGAGTCTCCAGTTCTGCCCACTCACCTCCGCCCAGCCATGCCTTTGGGGTTGCCTGGCGCGCCCCCTCTCCAGCCTCAGACCCTCCCTGGCCTCCACCTCCTCCAGGAAGCCCCATCTGTGTCCACGCCATCGGTTCATCTGCTTCTGTCCAGGTGGCCCCCAGCCGGAAAGGGTGATGGGAGCCAGTGCCCAGGGCAGGACGGTGGAGGCCGGGACGAGCATCCTGCAGAGGCTCCCCTCCCGTCATCGCCCCAGACTGCTCCTTTCAGACTCCGCAGCTTGGCGCAAGCCCTGCCCAGCTCACTCCTCCTTCCCCACCATCCCTGCGCCCACCTAAACTGTCCACCTCCAGACACCCCCTCCTGGCCACCTGCCCCATCAGTGCTCCCATGCAGCCCCCAGACCCCGCCGGAAATCATCACCGTTCCTGTGCTCGAGGAGCCTTGGCATCAGACCCACAGGGTTCAGGTCCTGACTGCCCAGGGCCATGTGCCTGGGGCTGTGAACGCCCACCTGCCCTGGCTTTCCTCACCTGCCAGGCTGACCACGGAGCCCTCCCTCTAGGTCAGGTGAGGACTCTGCCGTCCGCTGGGACAGGAGGGTGTAGAGAACTGCAGATTGCGGGTGCTGCCATTCCCGCCGCTCAGCCTTGGGTTTGAGTGAGGGCCTTTGGGGGGCTTCCTGCGTGTAACTGTAAGCTCCCTGAGGGCAGGGACAGCTGATCCCACCTCGGTCCCTAGGTGCCTGCACAGTGTAGACGTCCAGGAGGTGAATGCTTAGTGGCTGAAGGAATAAATGGCTGCATGGGTGAATGAGTGAATGATCAGTCTACAGCTCTTCATGTAACCGGGCTTTTCTGGATACCCAGACCTCAGCTCTGAGCAGCTCTCAGAGCTTGTGAGTTCTGGGTTAATAGTCTGTCTCACTTACTAGAATGTCAGCTACACGAGGGCAGAGAAATCATCTCTCTCTCTCTCTTTTTTTGGATCATGCTGCACAACATATGGGACTTTAGTCCCCCAGACAGGGATCAAACCCTTGCAGTGGAAGCGCAGGGTCTTCACCACCAGTGAAAGAAAGTAAAAGTGTTAGTTTCTTAGTTGTGTCCAATTCTTTGTGACCCCATGCACTGTAGCCCACCAGGCTCCTCAGCCCGTGGAATTCTCCAGGCAAGAATACTGGAGTGGGTAGCCATTCCCTTCTCCAGGGGATCTTCCTGACCTCAGGATCGAACCCAGGTCTCCCGCACTGCGGGTAGATTCTTCACCATCTGAGCCACCGGGGAAGCCCAGGCTTCACCACTGTGTCCCTAGTACTCAGAACAGTGGGTGGTACATAGTAGTTGCTAAGCTAATACCTTTCAGGGAATGGAAGACTAAGTAAGCACATTAATCAAATGAATGTTAAGTGTTCCCTGTCATCCTGGGGGGACTGGAGGATTCCTCTTTAAGTTAGAGCAAGGATTCAGTTCAGCAGTTCTAGTTGCTTGGTTCAAGGTGTTCAGTCCCTCAGCAACGACTGTGACCCTAGTATGTGGTAGGCCCTGATAATTCGTCAGTGGCGGGCCGATCCCTGCCCTCCCACACATAAGTACTTGTACCAGGCATCTTGTGCTGAATGCTGTAACAAAGGTAGAAGGCATCCCCCAGGTGTTTACAGAGCACCTACTAAGTGCAGGTGCTGTGGACGCAGAGCCCCAAGCAGAGCCACCGTGATCTCCACCCTCGTGGTGCTCACACTCGTTATGGGGAGAGAGGCTGGACACTTAAATAAATACAAATATTCGGGTGATGACTGTGGGGAGTGACTGGTGGCCGGCATGGAAACAGGGAGGTGGCCAGGATGGCCTCTCTTGAACTGAGCGCTGGATGATGAGGTTCAGGAGGATCTGGGGAATGAGTGTTCCAGGCACAGTGGGGAGGGGGGCAGCAAGGACCAAGAGCAGGCCTGTCCTTTTGAGGAGCAGCACGGAGTGGAATGCTGAGGACAGTGAGCGCGGGTGCGGGGGGCTGACGGCCCCCAGGCCGGGGCTGCGGCTGGCTCTGTTCCTGAAGGTGATGGGAGGGAGGCAGCCGGGCAGACGGAGTCAGCCTGAGCGGGCCCTGACGTCCCTGTGCTGCTGGTGCAGAGTGGATGGCCCAGCAGGGGAGGGAGGAGGCTCCTGGTGGAGGTGAAGGCTCTCACGGCTCTCACGGGGCAAAGCTGGAGCAGAAGTGCTGATGGAGAGGGCTAAATCTGGAGTGGAGGTCAGAGAGAGGGCCAGGGGGACTTGCTGGCTGATTGGATGGGGGTGGTGGGAAGAGTTGGGGAAGCAGGACTCTGAGAAAGCGCCTGGATGTTTCTTTGGGACAGCTGGGTGGACCATTGCGTCGTCTTCTAAAACTGGGGGAGGAAAGGAAGATGGACTCTGGTCTGCAAGTTCCGTTTCGCCTGGTTTGCTTCAGATGCCTAGTGGGCAACCAGGTCGGGAGCTGGAAATCCAGTCAGGAGCTCCAGCAAAGAGTCGGGGCTGGAGGCATAAATGTGTGTCAGCTGCAGGGGTGAGACCTCCTGGGAGAGGGGAGAAGGGAGGTGAGAAGGGGCCCGGGACGAGCGGTGGGTTGGCTCCGGGGCTGAGCAGAGGAGGAGGAGGCGCGGCCGTGGAGGTGGGGGGTCAAGAGAGGGTGTGGCTGGAGGGGGGGTGCCCTCGTGCCTGCTGCGGGGCCACCGAGGATGGGCCAGAGGATCACTCTGAGCTTTCTGGCCACTTGCCAAGGGCTGTCTCAAGGAAGGCTGGTTGGAACTGGTGCAGGAGAACAGGAGAAGATGGGGAGTAGAGGCTGGATACAGCTCTAAGTTGGGGGCAGAGGAGTGAGCAAGGAGCGGAGGGAGCAGGGGTCGGGAGAAGGTCTTCCAAGGGTGGAGAGGCTTGGGTTGCCAGGACGGGAGGGGCTGGGGCCGGCCCAGTGGTGAGGGGACCCCATGGCAGGAGGCAGGAGAGGCAATGCCGGCAAGAGAGCCTGAGCCCAGACGCATCACAGCCACACTGATGGGCCGACTCCGGGGAGAGAAACACAGACCACATGGGAAAGAGAGAGCACAGAGCCCGGGGGAGGGCAGGCCTGAGACCCAGACCCCAGGGGAGTGGCTGGGCTTGGACTTGGGGGGACAGTTCTTCCTTTGTCACAAGAGGGAAAGCAGACGGTGTGGCGTGTGGGTGGGGCAGTGATTTGAGGTGGAGAGAATGGGTGATTGATACCTGCCGAAGGCTCCTGGATTGCACTGAGAGCCAGAGAGCAGCCAGCACTAGGGTGCTGGGACCAGCAGGGGTGTCAGTGTGAAAGTTTGAGAAGGAAAGAGGATGAAGTGGTCAACCTCACAGGATGCAAACTCGCAAGAATCAGAGACACATAGAGGGATCCCTGGGTAGACTGGTGGGCACCAATTTAACTTGACGCCTATGACTTTCCCCGGCAGCCAGTAGCTCTGAGGGTCCCCACAAAGCAGGTGGAGGGTTAGGCCAAAACAGGGTTAGGAGAAGCGAGTCAAGGGCATCTGCAAAGGAGAGCTTTAAAGATATGCCAAGGAGTCTTAGCTGAGCCAGGAGGGAACTGGGGACATGAGTGTCTTACGAAAGACAGGTGAACAAACGGATTGGAGGTCTCCGTGAGGTCAAGGAATCGCTGGAGTGTGAGGACTAGAGTTAATCAAAATGGGGTAACAAGGACAGGGCAGGCAAATCCCACTGGTGGGATCTGGCTGGATTCCTCACCTGCTGTGGGCCTGACTCTGTTTTCTTTTTTAAAATTTTATTTATTTGTCTGCGTCGGGTCTCACTTGGGGCATGCAGGATCTTTTGCTGAACTGCGCCAGCTTAGTTACTCCATGGTGTGTGGGATCTTAGTTCCGCTACCAGGGATTGAACCCACATCCCCTGCATAGCAATGCAGATTCTTAACCACTGGACCACCAGGGAAGTCCCTGAGTCTGTTTTTGACAAAATGATGTAATAATAAAGTAACGCCATCTCAGAACTGGCTTGAATGGGGCTTCATACTTAACAGAGCTCTGGGCTTGTCTAATTTCCTCCTGTCTTCCTTTTTCCAGATTTGCTCACAAGTGCCCACAAGGACTGCCCCCTGCCCCAGGGCACAGCCCCCCTGAACCCAGACTTGCCCTCCATCATGGCTCCAGATCATGTCACTGGCAAGGTAACTGGTCGTGCTTCGTCCCCCTGGTTCCTGGGCTGTGCCCTGGAAGCAGAAAACGTTTCAACCTCCTTCTCTCCCTGCCAGGCCTGGCTTCTTCCTGCAGGGTCAGGGTCGCCTAGGGTTGTATTCAGCTGGATGAAGCTCTGAATGGAGCGGGGCATCCAGGCACTGAACCTGCTCTATGTAGAAAAGAGTCCTATCCTGAAGGGTCTCCCACCCAGAGTCACTCAGTCCTGCAGATAAGATGTTCTGTTATGAGCCCACGACTCCTCGGCCACCTGTGCTGCCCGCTGGGGTGTAAAGGAATGGAATTCTCAGTTCAGACACATCAGGCCGATCTCGCTAGGGGCCTCAAATCTGCTGCGTAATTTTCACCTTTGCCCCAGAAGCTGTGGCCTGAACTGACAAGTTGATATATATATATATCACAAGTATATATATATGATATGTATATCATACACAAGTGTATATGTACACACACACACACACACACACACACACACACACACATGATTCCCAAGTGGTGCTAGTGGTAAAGAACCTGCTTGCCAATACAAGTAGACATAAGAGACGTGGGTTTGATCCCTGGGTCTGGAAGATCCCCTGGAGAAGGGCATGGCAACCCACTCCAGTATTCTTGCCCAGAGAGTCCCATAGACAGAGGAGCCTGGCGGGCTACAGTCCATAGGGTCGCAAAGAGTCGGACACGACGGAAGCTACTTAGCACAAATTATGTTGTTTAATCTGTAAGTCATTTTCGACACCATGGACCATAGCCCGCCAGGCTCCTCCAACCATGGAATTTCCCAGGCAGGAATACTGCGCTGGATTGCCATTTTCTCCTCCAGGAACTCTTCCCAACCCAGGGATCAAACCCTCATCTCCCACATTGGCAGGCAGATTCTTTACCACTGAGCCACCTGGGAAGCTCAGTGGTAAAGCACTGGTGTGTGTGTGTGTCCACATATGTGTGTGTATGTGTGTGTCCACACATGTGTGTGTCCACATATGTATGTGTGTATATGTGTGTGTCCACATATGTATGTGTGTATATATGTGTGTGTCCACATATGTATGTGTGTATATGTGTGTGTCCACATATGTATGTGTGTATATATGTGTGTGTCCACATATGTATGTGTGTATATGTGTGTGTCCACATATGTATGTGTGAAATATGTGTGTCTACATATGTATGTGTGTATATGTGTGTGTCCGCATATGTATCTGTGTATGTGTGTGTGTCCGCATATGTATGTGTGTATATATGTGTGTGTGTCCACATATGTATGTGTGTATATATATGTGTGTGTGTCTATATGTGTATGTGTGCATATATATGTGTGTGTGTCTATATATGTATGTGTCTGTATATGTGTGTGTCTACATATGTATGTGTGTGTATATGTGTGTGTATATGTGTATGTGTCTATATGTGTGTGTATATGTGTGTGTGTCTACATATGTATGTGTATATATGTATGTGTATATATATGTGTGTGTCTACATATGTATGTGTGTGTGTGTGTGTGTGTGTGTGTGTGTGTGTGTGTGTGTATAGAGAGAGAGAGAGAGAGAGAGAGTGCGTGCCCACACCACGGGCTCTGTCTCGTGCCCGGCACTTTGCTGACCTTATGCCGTTTATGCTTCAGCACAGCCTGTGAGATGCATGGTACATCCTGTCTTAGAGAGGCCCAGACTAAGGTTCTGGGATGTTACGTGACTAGGACATATGGGATGTTATGTGACTAGGACATCCAAGGATGTCCAGGCAGCAATGGCAGAGTCAGTCTGAGCCCAGGCCTGCTCGCTTCCCCACACCTGCTGCCTCTCCCGGCAGAACCATGGTCACCCCTCACCCACCTGCTTCTCTCTCTGCATGCCAGGGGACAGCAGGGCATGACCCAGGAGCAGGCAGACGCTGTCTCAGTCAGGGAGCACCGCTCCCGGGGCTGCAGGATCCGTGCCGTCTGCCTTCACAGAGTGCCAGGCCCCGTCTGTTCCTCTTTCTCCTCTTGTTGTAGGACAGACAGATGGATTTCTGTTGGGATCCTTGGCAGGTCAGTGCACTCACCCCTCCCTCAGGCTAGCCAGCCCCAGCTGACATCATGGGCCCTCTCTCCTGGGCCCAGCTTGGGCACACAGCACTGCCAGCCCTGGGGGGGTCTGATGGACACAGGGCTGGGGAGGGTCCTGTGGGGGTTGGCAGGACTGCCCAGGACCTGGGGAGGGTGGGTAGTGGAGTGGGAGGAGTGGGGAGTCATCTTGCGGGTCTGCCCACCTTGCTCACCCCCCTCCCCTTCCTACAGAGGTGCTTCCAGACCACCAACGGCTACCTATCCGACTCCAGGTCCTGCTCCAGCAACTACAACGTGGCAGCTCTGGCCACCTCGTCCCTTGTGGGTGAGCTCCGGCTGCCTCCTCCTGCCCCGCGAACCTGCCCAGTGCCCCGTAGCCACTGGCGGTGGGAAGGTCAGAGCGGAATTGCAGCTGGAAGGACTTCAGCCCTGTTGGACGCATGAGTTTCTAAAGGCCAGGCTCCATGCGGGACTCTGCAGGGCTTAGGGGTTCCTGCCCCTGTGGGGTTTAGTTGCTGGGTTCTCCTGAAGTTCTGAGGGGCTGGCCCCGATTTCTTGGGTGTCTCCCTGGTGGTCTCCCTGCCTCTCTGCAGCAGATGAAATCAGCCAACTTGTGACGGGTCCCCTAGAAGCAGAGCTGAGAGGGGAATTGTGTTGGGGATTTACTGAGGGCTTGTTCGCGAAGGAAACCTGCAGGGAGCAAGGGGAGCAGGTCAAGGCAGGGGCGGGGCTCGGCAGAGGGCTGCTTGCAGGTCTCGTCTCTCCCAGTCTGACCCACAGAACCCGTGGTGCTCTGAGGCTGTGGCTGACTTTACACGGCTCCTCCATCCGTCAGTGTCGGCTGCCACTCTGGAGGACTCCCAGCTTCCAGGCCTCTCTGGGTGGCGCAGCTGAGGGCAAGGCTCCCGAGGGTGCGGGCATGTGCACAGGTGTGCCCTGGCGCCTGCAGCAGCAGGATGTGGTCGCCCTGGCATGGCCTTTGGGGCTCTGCTCAGCCGGCTCTGCTCACAGGCTGCTACGTTCTCAGTCGCTCACAGCCCCCCCCCAAAGCTGCCCCCCCAAAGCTGCCCCCCATTTCCTCCACCCGAAACCCCTTCCCTCTACCTCACCTGCCCCTTGGGGGCCACTGAACCACCCCTTCCAGAAACCACCTCCAGTTGCCAGCGCTCCCCAACCTGGGGGCCTCCATCTTCTTTCCAACCTTCATCTTTCCCATTCTCCCAGAGTTTTGTTTCAGTTTCCTTCACTGATGCCTTTCTTCCTTCCTTCTTTTTTTTTTTTTTCCCTAAAGTAAGTCAACATTAGCTTTTTTTGAATTACTATTTTTAAATATCTGTCTATTTGGCTGTGCCAGTTCTTAGTTGTGGCATGAAGAAGCTCAGCTGTTGCATGTGGGATCTAGTTCCCTGATCGGGGATCGAACCTGAGCTCCCTGCCTTCGGAACATGGAGTCATAGCCACTGGACCACCAGGGAAGTCACCTTTCTTTCTTAAATATTGCTTTTCCTCATGTCCTGCTTTCTGGGACCAGTGATCCGCAGATCTGTTCTCAGCCTGGGTTTGAGGAAATACTGGGGATCGTCCTTGACAACGTTTTGTCCATCATCCAGTGGGTCTGCTGCCAAGAGCCCCCCAGGCCCTGCTCCCTGTCTCCCCACTCTGTCCTGTCCCTCGCTGACCCGTTCAGTGGCCCCTAATGCCCACCCTTGGCCCTAGTCCTCCAGTGAGGACATTCTTCCTCAACGGCAGGCCCGCCCTGTGCCACTCTCCTGCCCGTCACCGTGCTGTTGCCGTAAGGAGAGGGGTGGTCTGCCCCAGTCTGGACCTTGTTGGGCTTCCCAGACTCTTCCGCCACCCTGTTCCCAGTGTTGCCCCGTGGCTTGCCCCCAGGTAGTCTTGGATCCACGCCAGACTCTTCTGTGTCTTCATCCTCTTCTCATCTCTGAAATAGCCTCCAGCCTTGCCTCTTTTTATCCAATCCAAACTGCCTTCAAAGCCTGCCTCCAGTCCACCTCTTCCAGGAAGCCTTCCCTGCCTGCTACAGGTCTCACCCTTGGCAGAGCAGGCAGTGTCCCAGGCACAGGAGACACTGTCCCCAAGCTTGTTAGCTGCTGGAGGAAGGGACAGCTGGTGGGTCTGGAAGGATCCATGAGTGAATCTCCTTGAGCAAACGAGTGTGAACTTGGTCAGAAGGGAGCGAGGGGTGTGGCAGGTCTGGAGAAGAAGGGCCAGATGGGCGGGAGCACTGCCTGGGAGCAGGATGTTGGGAGGGCGTGGGGCCTGCAGGTGGGTGGGGAACGTCTGTGCAGGGTGTGGGAGGGTGTGGGCAGGCGGGGCGTGGACGCAGCATTGCCCGGGTATGAGGAGCTGGGTGGGCCTGAGCATTGCGGGGTGGGACTCCGAGCACCCGGGCTCTGGAGGGATGTGGGGTACAGGCCACTGGACCAGATGGAGGTCCTGGGAGGGCTGGGCTCTTGGGGGTGGGGCCACCGAGCTGAGCCTTGGGTCAGAGCCCTGGCTCAGCCGCCCTCAATCCCTGCAGGGGTGGTGCAGAGCATCAAGGACCACATCACAAAGCCCACGGCCATGGCCCGTGGCCGTGTGGCCCACCTCATCGAGTGGAAGGGCTGGAGCGCCCAGCGGGCGGCCTGGGAGCTGCCCCCAGAGGATGACGAGCATTACTGCCACCTCCCGGACGAGCTGTGCGAGGCCCGCTTTGCTGCAGGTCAGCGGGGGTGGGGGCGGGGGACAGACTGGCCGGGTCTGGTCCTGAGAGGCCCCGGGGTTCCCCTCATGCGTTGTCGGGGTGTGCTCAGTCGCTCCAGTCGTGTCCAGCTCTTATGGACTGTAGCCCTCCAGGCTCCTCTGTCTATGGGATTTTCCAGGCAAGAATACTGAGCGGGTTGCCATTTCCTACTCCAGGGGATCTTTCTGACCCAGGGTTTCAACCTGTGTCTCTTTCGTCTCCTGCATTGGCAGGCAGGTTCTTTACCATTGGTCTGGGCAGGGAAATACAGTGCTGAGTGTTGGGGGCATTGATGGGAACTCCGATCCCCTGGACCACGGATGGGCAGCCTCGAGAACCAGCATGTGGTGCCTCTTGCCCCCGCTGAGCTGGGTCCATGCCCACAGGGGTTGCCGAGCAGTTTGCCATCACAGAGGCCACACTGAGCGCCTGGTCCTCGCTGGACGATGGAGAGCTACGCCCGGAGAGCAGCCCCCTGGACGTGCTCCAGCTCCAGGGTACGGCCTGGGGGCTGGGGTGGGGTGCCGCAGGGCCGGCGTGCAGGCCTGTTCTGCTGCCTGTGCCCTGGGACCTCAGAGAAGGCCCCCCAACCCTCAGCCTTAGTTTTTCTTCGTCTGAAAAATGGGGCTGGTGATCCTTGTCCTGCCCATTGCCCCAGGAGCACCATGAGCATAAAGGAGAGGAACACAGAGAGAGAGAGAGAGAAAGAGAGGTGATAGATTAGATGATAAATAGGTGACAGATAAGGTGAATCAAGTGCTCACTGTGCTAAGTGCTTTACATGTGTTATTTCAACTTATCCTATGACACTCTGAGAACTAGAGCCGTTATTATCTCCATTTTACAAATAAGGGAAACTGAGGCATCAGGAGACTTGCCTCAGACACTTCCCTGGTGGTTAAAACTCTGTGTTTTCACTACAGGGGACACGGGTTTGATCCCTGGTCAGGGAACTAAGGTCCTGCACGCTGCACAGCGCGGCCCAAAGGAGACTGGCTCAGACTGTGCTGTGTGCTAATCGCTCAGTCGTGTCTGACTCTGCGACTGTGGACTGTACCCCTCCAGGCTCCTCTGTCCATGGGATTCTCTAGGCAAGAATACTGGAGTGGGTTGCCATTTCCTCCTCCAAGGGGTCTTCTCGACCCAGGTATCGAACCCAGGTCTCCCACATTTCAGGCAGTTCTTTACCAGCTGAGCCGCCAGGGAAGCCTCAGGTTACACATGCTGGAGGCATCAGGATCTGAACTTCAACCTCAGGCACCATCAGTCACCTTTGTAGATACCCCAGTTACCCCTGAGGGCTTCAGGGAGCCTGGGTCCCGGGTGGAGCTTGCAGACCCACTGTGGCTCCTCCTCCTGACATGAGTGAAGGGAGGGGTGAAGGCCTGGGGAGAGCATTGGTCAGCCCAGTTCTCAGAGCACAGATGGATTTGAAGCCAGCAGGCTGGCTCCAGAGTCTGCTGTTAACCATTCTGCTTACTGCCACCACCATGCCATCACCCAGGGCGAAACAGGTTCAGTGAGTTTCAGTGACATGACCAAGGCCACCCAGCTTGGCGCTGATAAAGCAGGATTCGGAAGCAGGTCCTCTGCCGCTCGCCCCCGGCCTCCTAACCCGGAGAGGGCGAGGGTCAGGGTCTTCCCAGCTCCAACCTCACCCCCCGCCCCCCGTTGCTTTTGCAGACCTGGGGAGCATCTACCTCCAGGATAGCCTTCTGAGTGTCCGCTCGCAGGACGACAGTCTTCTGGCCTTCTCCTCCCCTGACAGCTGGCCCTCCCCTGACGAGCCCCCCAGCCTCGCAAGGCAGCTCCAGCCACGGCTCCCGGGGGCCCTGGGGCCCGAGGAGGGGGCCAGCCCGCAGGGCCCCCCACGCTCCGTGGACGGCGGCCCGCCCTCCGAGGAGGAGGATGAGGTGTTCTACAACTGAGGCGGGCCAGGCCGCCCCCGCTATGGCCCGGTGGGCAGCCCAGAGCCATCAGGACCCCGGGCGCCGGGCGGGTGTCTCGTGATCCCTCGGGGCAGGCGTGGGGTGGGGCGGCGCTCCTGTGGACGCTCCGTGCCTCCGGACCTCCTCCGCCTCCCCCGTGGGAGCTGTGATCCCCTCCCCCGCTCTACCTGGCTCAGGAGGGCGCCTTCCCCTCAGGGTGTCTGCCACAGGCAGGCTCGAGGACTCTCAGCAAACACCCGGGCAGACTGCCCAGAGGAACCGGCAGCCACAGACGAGGGTGGGGACCCTGCTCAGCCCCAGGCTCAGCCCTCCACCTGTGCTCCGGCCCCATCAGAGGTGGCGGCTCCTTGGGGTGCTGACCCCTGCTCCTCAGCGCTCTTCACAGGGACTGTCTCTCGGGGTGTCTGCCGGCCCCTCACTTTCTGGACCTGCTCCCCGGGGTCCTGCTTCCCCTCCTTGCACCCCCCTCCACCTGCAGGAAGGTTCTCGGCAGACATTAAAGTGGTAGATCCTCCCTGGATGACCTTGGCCTGGTTTCTGCAGGGGACGCGTGTCCTTGTGCTCCCGGCTCGCGGGAGAGGGCCCCGACCCCTCACCACACAGACCGCCGGTCACCCTGCTGCTGGTGGCCCAGATGGCCCCCATGGATGAGGCTTAAGGCTCTGTGGACTCCAGGCAGCCCCATATGGGGAGCCCACTTTGTCAGCCCAGGCTCAGCCGAGGAGGAGGTTGAGGCTGGAGTGGAGGTAACTGGATCACAGGGTCATGGTACCCCTGAGGACAAGCATCATAAGACCCAGTGGGAACCCCCTCTACCCCATAGCTCCCTGCCAGGAAGGGGGCGCAAGGAGTGGGGGGACCAGGGTCCAGGCCTGCAATGTCCACACGGCCACCGAGGGGCCCCGGAGAGCTCAGTCGGGGTTGGCGCAGGTGAGGCGCTAAGGTGGCAAGACACTTGGATGCTGAGATGAGCACAGACCACAGCTCTGGGAACCGGCTTTATTTGCCTTGGAAGCCTCTGGTTGGGAGTCACACAGCCCCCAGAGGGCACCTGTGCCTGCCCTTGCTGACAGAGGACAGCAGGCTCTTCATCTGTGAATCTGATGCTTTCTTGCAATACCCACCACGTGGCGGCTTTCTGCTGTCTCACATTCTGAGCTTTCCAGGGTGGAATCTATCCTTTAGGACATGTGGCACTTGCCCCACGAGGATGGGACATGGCGACTGTGGGGTCCTCCTCACTGCTAGGTCAGCTGCCTGCTTTGCCGAGGAGTTGAGCTGGGCTGGAGCGGAGGGGTGTGTTCTCGTGGGGGAGACAGGCAGGGTCTCTGCCCTGCTTCCTTCACCGGGGTAGCTGAGCGGCTGTTTCAACCTGCCAGGCTGGCTCACTTTGGGGCTGGAGGGTTTGTCAGGTTGGAAATTGCTTTCTCCAACTAGAACAGAGAACAGAGAGGGGGAGAGTGTAGAGGATACTGAAGATGGAGGCTGCAGTATAGTTTGCCTCTTCTAAGGGCTGATTTTGGAGCGAGTTTTAGAGCCAGTGCCTTGCTACTGCATAGATGGGATCACTGAGGCCCAGAGGTAATGGCAGGGCTGGCCAGTAGCCACAAGATAAGGTAGATGTAGCTGGACCATGTGGCCGGCTCCGCTGGGCCAGAAGTGAGGCTCATCAAAGTCCCATGAGGCCCCTCCCAATGTGACTGTGGGTTACTGGTGCCCCCCCGCCCCGCCCCTCGGCTGCACAAGCGTGGCTTCTCCCCTTTGTTTCATCCTTGAGGCCACGGTACCTCCACCCAAGAAACGAAGCCCACAGCTCTGCCCTGAGACGTCACGAAGAGGGACTGAAGATTCAACAGCTCGAAGAGGTTGTGTGCCTGGAGGAGGGGGGTTAGGAAGCGCTGGAGGACAGGCTCCCACCCACCCGTCTGGCTTCATTCTTCCCGGCCGGCGAGCCCTGAGTGGAGATGAAGGCCCTGCCAGGCTCTGTCCCGGTGCTGCCCCCGCTCCCTGCTGGTTCTGAGTCATTGCCGAGCCAGTTTCTGAGCCTGGGAGGGCTGGGCGTTGGGACGGGCCTGCAATGTCCAATATGACCACCAGGGGTCCCAAGAGTCCACACAAGGGATCAGTGGGCCTCACCACTCAGGATCATCCAGCATCACCCATGGACACAGGGGTGGGGCCACCTTTAGGTCCCCAACCTGCTCTGTCCCTCCATGACCCCATGTGCCAGGCTCTGTGCTTGCAGTGGGGAGGGATCAGCAGTCAGAGTGATTAAGTAATTTGCACAAGATCACACAGGCAGTATGTGGGAGACCTGGAATTGAAACCCATGTGTGCCTTGATGCAAAGACAAACTTTTAACCACTATTTCTGTCCATCCAGAATCTTCAGCTTCCTAAGCTTTCCCTCTCCCCGAGTCTCTATGTCCCAACAACCCTGGGACTGAGGGGCAGAGAGGCGGGGACTGCATGCTCCTTCCACAGATGAGGAAGTAGACGCAGGAGGAACAGAGAGCCACACTGTGTGGTGAGGAACCGGAAGCTTTCCTTGCTGAAGAGTTTCCCTCTCAGGTTCCTCCCCTCTATCCCAGGACCCAGGTCTGCCCACAGCCCGAATTCCGCCCATTACCTGGTGCAGGGAGGTCTCCGGAGACAGCTTCAGGGTTACTGGCTCCACGGGGCACCCTCCAGCCAAGATGTCCTGGAGGCAGCACTGGGGATGGAGGAAGGGTTATGGGCGCCTAGGCTAGCCCCCCCCCCCCCCCGTCCCGGGCTGCCCCTCTCAAACCACAGGCAATCAGCTGGCCACTCTGCGCTAACCCTCCTGATTCCCCACCCCCTCCAGACACCTCACGTGAGCACTCACCCGCTGTCCTGGAGCCCAGGCGGGTGGCTCAGCTTGGAGGGCCTGCACCAGCTGTGCCCTTCGGATGGTGCCCACCAGGGTCTGGGACTCTGGACAGGCGGAGAGGGAGACGGAAAGAGCCACATTATGAAAAAGGAACTTCTGTTTCCTGCGCTTCTGTGATGTGCCAAGAACTGTGTTGGGTGTTCTCATGACCCTTGGGAACTTGCAGCAATCTGAGAGTCAGGAGCTATTATCGCCCATTTTACAGAAAAGGAAACTGAGGCTCAGGGGCACAGAGAGGTTAGTTGTCTCGCCCAAGGTCACTCAGCTTCTGAGGGCAGCTGGGCAAGGCTGCCAGGGGGCCAGGAGGTCACTTGCCCACCCTGAAATGCCCCATGTGGCAGGGCCTCAAGCAGGAGCAGGTCTGGAACACCTCCATGAAGACAGCCGTGCCCTGGGGCTGGGCATTGCCCCTCATTTCCCAGTGAAGGTGTGAATCCAGAAGGCCACCTTGTTCCTGCTGGGGGAGGGGTAGCAAGCTTTCAGGGCGTCACTGGAGTTTGCAAGTATTCCGTTTTGAAGGACAGCCTGACAGTTTTGCTCCTTTTCCAGTAAAAGAAAAACGTCACATCTGGACATACACATGTTCCCCCTTTAAAAACAAAAAACAAAGCTATTTCTTGGATGAGCAGCTGGGTCACACAGCCTGGGCCTGTGCTAGTTAGGAGTGCTTTGCTTCCTGTGGCTCTAAGGGTAGATTTGGAGGTGGTCTTGGACACCACTTCTGTCTCTTTTCCAGGGAGTGAAGCTTCTCGAGGGGACACCCCTGTGCAGATATTTTCTAATGCGATATCTGGCGTGTTCTATGGGATAATGCTATAGGTGTCCCACTCTGAGTGGGAAGAAGGGCCTGGCGTTTGGGATGAGAACCTCTGGCAACTCTGTCCTCCCTACTGTCCAGCTGAGGCAGCCGCAACTCACAGAGCTTAGGGGCTCATCTGCAGTTCTGCTGCTCATAAATGGCTTCATGCTTCTGGGGTTAGGTGTGTGGATGACACATATGGTTGTGCAGGTTGCTCAGTGCCCAAGAAACCTGCCCAAAGGACAAGCAGGGGCCAAAATCCAGCCAAGTCATGCTTGCCAAGCGTGCACCTTTTCTCATGCATACAAAGGGGCCCTGTGGGCTGACGGAGGCCCTGGGCGGGTATAGCTGTCCCCTCCCTAGCCCCCTGCTTATCTTTCCCGCTCACACTGTGCTTGTCCGAGAGGGAAATGATGTTCCACCTAGACCCTCCCTCCAGATTCAGCTTACGAGTCTTTTAACAAGGGGCCCCATCCATTTTTCTGTGAAAAGATGTGTTTCTCGTGGTGACAGGACCGAGGGAGGTTCCGCGGGGAGCACTGGAAGGGAAGGCTGCGGGGGAGCCTCCCGGGAGGAAGATGTGCTCCCAGCACTCTACACCAAGCTCACCACCCTGATTTCTAGGATTCACACGCGCCTCACCAGCGCCCTCTCATCTCTCATTCAAACATGTCAGGACGTCCCCGGCGGTCCAACGGTCAAGATTTCACCTCCAACGCAGGGGTCTGGGTTCAACCCCGGGTCAGGGAGCCTCATGGCCAAAACAAACAAAACCCCCAAAAAGAGAAGCAACACTGGGACTTCCCTGGGGGTGTAGTGTATAAGAATCCACCTGCCAATGCAGGGGACAGGGGTTGCGCCTCTGGTCTGGGAAGATCCCACATGCCGGGGTGCAACTAACCCATGTGCCACAACCACCGAGCCCGAGTCCCAGGGACGGGGAGTCACGGCCACCGAGCCCGAGTCCCGGGGACCGGGAGCCACGGCCACGGAGCCCGAGTCCCGGGGACGGGGAGCCACGGCCACGGAGCCCGAGTCCCGGGGACGGGGGGTCACGGCCACGGAGCCCGGTCACTGAGCCCGAGTCCCGGGGACGGGGGGCCACGGCCACGGAGCCCAAGTCCCGGGGACGGGGAGCCACGGCCACGGAGCCCGAGTCCCGGGGACGGGGGGTCACGGCCACGGAGCCCGGCCACTGAGCCCGAGTCCCGGGGACGGGGAGCCACGGCCACCGAGCCCGAGCCCCGGGGACGGGGGGCCACGGCCACCGAGCCTGAGTGCTCCAAGTACTGAAGCCCTTGAGCCCTAGGGCCTGTGCTAAAAGTAAATAGATAACTTAAAAAAATCCGAAAGCAGTATTGTATCAGATTCAATAAAGACTTTACATCAAAAAAAAAAATACCAAAACGAAAACCTTTAAAGGGACTACAAGCAGAAAAAATATAAATAAATAAACATGTCAGCACCCCAAGGTAGGATGGTTATTATCTCCATTTTACCAATGAGGAATCTGAGGCTCAGAGAGGTGCAGTGACTTGCCCCAGGTCACATAGTGCAGAGCCTGGGTCTCGATTCAGGTTCCTGACAGCTCCAAGGCCCTGTTTACCCTTTCCTGAGGCTGACTCTCCCAGGTGCAAGAGGGAGCAGATGGAAGCCCCTTCCCCATTCACACCCCGCTTCCTGCTGGGCACCTGTGCTCGCCACCAGGGGATACTCAGCCATGTCTGTGGAGGTCACGACCTTGACCACCTCCTCCTGTGATGTGTCCTTGGCCAGTGTGGTGATGGCTCGGTTCATGAAGTGCTCCACACACACCCGGTGAGAGCTGCAGGCAGAGGCGTGCTCCCATCAGGGCCTGGAGCAGTGTGTCCTCCAGACCCCGGGACAAGGCGGGGGGCCCAGGGAGTTCCGCCGGTTCTCCAGTGCAGGCAGGGACTAAGGGATTCCTAGGAGGAACAGTTGCTCACATCCCAGGGTGGGGAGGAGCCTGGGGACCGACTCGCCTATGGCCTGGCTCTGGATTCTCAGCCACTTGATTTCTATCTCCCCGAGACCAGCTCCAGTTTCATCTGTTTTATTCAGAAGCTGTCCCTGGAGAATTTCATTTGAAGAAAAGCTTTATGGCATAAAGGGGGGGAAAAAAAACTTTAAAGTTTTAAAATAACTGGAGTAACCACCCCCATTTAACAGATGGGGAAACTGAGTCTGGAGAAGGCGGCAGCTTGCACATGCTTCAGTTGGGCCTTGGGCCCAGGAGTCTCAGAGGCCTGCTTCTCTGGGGACAGAGGCTGCTCGACCCTATGTGGTCGAGTGAGGACCTCAAAGCCTGTTTCCATTCTAGTATTCCAGCCCCACCTCCAGCTCCCAAGACCCCAGTGAGGACCGCAAAGCAGGAGCAGGGGGAGGGGTGGGACCTCCCCGAGCTGGTGCTGACTCGCTGTGTGACCTGGATCAAGACATGGCACCTCTCTGAGCCCCAGCATCTGTCCTCCTGTTGTGAAGACAGACTGATGACCAGGAAGACACTGAAGCTCGGGAGGCCAAGGACTCACGCAAGGTCACGCGGGGAGCTGGAGAGCAGCAGACTAGAGAGCAGCATGTGTCAGCCCCTCCCACACTAGCCCAGGACCGAGGTCAGCCCACCTGGACACCGTCGCCTTGGTCCACCAACCTGAGCAGGCACCACTCACCTGATTTTTCGGCACCGGATCCACGGAAGGTATGGCAGCTTCTTGACAATGATGGTGCCGTCGTAGAAGGAGGGCTGGCAGCTCTGGGCAATGGCGTTGGCCGCCAGCACCGCCATTAGCACAGGAAGTGCGTGCACGATCTGACCGGTCATCTCGAAGGCCAGCAGCGCAGTGGAGATGCTGTGGGTCACGGCCCCTGAGAACGCTGCAGCCCCTGCAAGCCAGGGGTGGGGTTGGGGCATGAACAGCCAGGGAGCGGGGCTCAGGCTAGGAGACAGCTTCGTGCAGAGGACAATGCTGCTGTGAGGATGGCTGTGGGCTCGGGTGGGAATAATTCAGAGGCTACAACTGGCTACTATTGGAAATGCCTCTGGCCTGGGCTTGGTGAGGGAGAGAACAGTAAGGGAGGGGGCACCAGGGCCCAGAGAGAAGCTAGAGAGAGCAGTGGGGGCTCAGAGGAGGGGTCCAGGGAGGGGCGGGGCTCATGGGGGGCTCCTGACCTCTCTATGCCCTGCACAACTGCTGGCTGATCCTCCAGGTCCAGCCCAGACCCATGATGTATGCCCACCCAGTAAGAACCAGGTCCACTCACCTGCCAGCGCGTACCCCCCAGGCATGATGGGGTTGGTGACCCCTCTGGCCATGATGCCCTCGGGGAAGGCCACAGAAAGGGCTTCTCCTATGAGGCGCCCAATGGCAGCTCCTGGCCACAAACTTGGGGTGAGGACGGGGGCCAGGCTGACCTGCTTCCCAGAGCCCTCCTCACCTGGGGACCAGTCTCAACACCATACTGGGGAGGCAGGTGGACGCGCGGCCACGGCTTTGTCCCTGTCCCCTGAGCCTCTTGGACCCTCAACACTCACCATAGATAAATATGGGCATGAAGTACCCGGCAGGTATGGGCATTGTGGTGGCCAGAATCAGCATCCAGAACTGCTGGGGGGCAATGGGGGCGGAGGTTAGCAGCGGCTAGACCAGAGCAGGCAGAGGAGGGACCGGCTGGGGCGGGGAGTGTCCCTGGAGGAGGAGGAGGAGGCCCAGGCACACACCTGTCACCAGCGGCTGGCGTGAGCAAAGGTGTGAGCCGGGGAAGGGCCTCTACCCTGGCAGTGCGCCTACTGTGTGCCCGGCACTGCACCAGAGCCTCTCCTTTCTCCCCCCTCAACCATCTATGATGTAGGCCCGGTGACGACCCCATTTTTAAAGATGAGGAAAGCAAGGCTCAGAGAGTTGGAGCAACTTGCCGGGGACCACACAGTGGACGGAGGTCAGGACAGGGGGTCTGGGGGAAGATGCAGGCCCCGTGCTGCATGCATGCCATGGGGAGGCACCCCAGCCCACCCAGGCTCTGTGCACACCCCTGGGGGCCCACCTTCATAACGAGGAAGAAAGCGAGGGTCCCGAAGATGGTGAACTGTGGGTGGTACCATTCGAACCATAGGTTCTGGTGGTCGGGCTCCATGGGCCAGGGTGGGGACATGTTCCGGGTCAGCAGCGCCCACGAGTTATTGTCAAGCAGGGAGTCCAGATACTCCCTCATGGACAGCTGGAGGGGAGGGGCGTCAGGGTTCTGCCTGGGGGCCAGGCAGCAGTGCCCCCCCGCCACGGCCTGAGACCCTCTTCCTCGGGCAGCAGTGCCCCCCGCTACGGCCTGAGACCCTCCGCTGTCACTTCCTGCTGGGGGACTCCTTGGCAAGGGCTCTGTCACCGCAGGAGCTGCTATGTGCTCAGTCGCTCAGTCGTGTCTGACTCCTTGCAATCCCGTGGACTGCAGCCCGCCAAGCTCCTCTGTCCATGGGATTCTCCAGGCACGAATATTGGAGTGGGTAGCCTTTCCCTCCTCCAGGGGATCTTCCCAACCCAGGGATCGAACCCAGGTCTCCCACACTGCAGGTGGATTCTTTGCCATCTGAACCCCCAGGGAACTGCCGTGGCCTCATATGAAAAGCGCCACACAGCCCTCCTTTTCTAGGTGTTGAGAGGACTCAGGGAGATGATGGACATAAAGTGGACAACGATGGGCATGCCCCCCCTGGCCCCCCAGCTCAGGCCCTTACCCGAGAAGCCATGAAGCGGCCCGCGCCAGGGGGGTAGGTGATGGAGGCGAGGACCAAAGCCGCCAGTGCTGAATACAGAGGCTTGCTGTTGGGGAGTGGGGGTCAGCACCGGGCCAGCCATCGACTCCCCTCACCCCACCCCATGGGGCAGCCCCACTAGTCTGGGGGCGACGCTGAGGCAGGAATGGGGGGCAGGAGCAGGGCAGTGATCGGGGGGGGGGCGGCCCCACACCCCTGGATGACCGGGGGTGGGACTATAGGAGAGTTTGGGACAGAGGCCGCTGTCTGCCAGGACCGGCCTGGCGGAGGAGGGCCGAGTCTGAAACGGCAACGCCAGGGCTCAGACAAGGTTGGGGGAACAGGGCTCAGTGAGGTCCTGGGCTTCGTAGGCAGTGGGGGGGCCGTTAGCGAGGAAGGGCTGGAATGTTGACGCTGATGGCCTAGTAAGTGGGGAGGCAGACCCTGCGGGGGCCTGCAAAGGGGTGCTGGTGACCGGGAAGGGAGAGTCTGGGGCATCAGCCTGATGGGTCCCCAGCCCCCATCCAGGGCCCACCTGGTGGCCATCAGTTTGGAGAGGACTGGATTTGTCTTGACAAAGCCGAGAAACTTTCGCTGGCAGAAGAGGTAAGCACAGCTCGCCACGCCACAGATGGCCCTGCAGGGGCACATGGTGAGTCCAGAGCCCCTCCCGGACCCAGGGCAGCTGTGCAGGCGGGTGGCGCCCCCACTCACCCCAGCGCCACGAAAAAGAAGATCTCTGGCAGGTCGAAGGGGATGTCCACCCGGAAACTGGTCTTGTAGAGGGAGGTGATGGTCTCTGGGGAGATGGGGAGTGGGGTCAGGGTGGACACTCCTGCCCAGCCAAAGGCTCAGAATCAATGGGCAGGAGAGGAGGCGGGGCAGGTGTGCCCCAGACTCCTCTCCACCCGCCTCCCTGACTGGCTTCACCCGCTTCTAACCCTGAGGGCTTCCATCCTTCACGCCCAACACAGGCCAGCTCCTTCCACGCCCCTAGGAGGAGGAGATTGAACAGGAGGAAGCGGGGAGGGGGGGGAAGAGATGGGAGGGTGGAGGGGAGAAAGCACAAATAGCTGGGGTTAGGGGGCAGGGGGCAGGGGCAAGGTTCCAGCGGCGCTCACCCTGCTCGCTGTTGAAGACCGCCAGCAGGCGGAACATGAAGGCCCCGCAGGTGGCCGCGAAGAAGCCCCTCCAGTAATCCCAGACCGAGAAGTGAGAGGACACGACCTCGATGCTGAACAGGACGCCTGGGGGAGACAAGGGGCTGAGAGCCTGCCGCTGGGGCAGGGCCACCGGCTCCCGGTTCTGAGCTGAAGCCGAGGGCGGGGCGCCCCCATCCTGACCGCTGCGGTGGGGAGGGTGCCCGCCCCGGGGAGGGTCCCCGCCCCCAGTTCACAGACGAGAGTGAGGCTGAGAGCCGGGCTCACCGCTCGCGAACGCGCAGGGGCGCCGAGTTTAAAACCCAAGTCTGTCCAGGGGACCGCCGCGCGTCCCGGCGCCCACCCGCGCCGCCCCTCCACCCCGGGGACGGTCAGCGCTCCCGGAAGACGGCGGAAGGACTCCCCCGAGAGACGGCGGAAGGACCGCGACCGCCCCCATCTGCCCCCCAGGTTCCTGCGCCGGGCGGAGTGGGCGGGCTGCGCCAAGGCAGTGGGGGCCGGGTGTTGGGGAGCGCGGGGTGTGGGAACCGGGGGCCGGGCGGGGCCTCACCGCTGAAGGGCGCTGCGAACACCGTGGCCACGCCCACCGCCGCGGCGGCCACCAGCATTTCGTTTCGCTTGCTCCTGTTCTGGAGGGATCCAAAGTCCTGGGCTGAGAGCCAGCCCTTGCCCACCCCTCCCTCTCATTCCTCCAGTGGAGGGGTCCCCACGAGCCCCTTACCTCGGACTCCCCAGTGGCCTTGGTGCGCATGCGGCCCAGGAAGGCGCCAATCATCACGGACAGGTGCACGAAGGGGCCCTGCCCGGGAGGTGTGGGCGCAGGGAACCCGTTGGGCCTTGAGGGGAGCCCCAGCCCCGCTCCTCCCCTTCCCCTCCCTCGGTCCCAGGCTCCCCAAGCTCATCCAGGGACGGCGTGCCCCCAACCCCCACCCCATCTCCCAGGTTCCTGAGTCACACTCTGGGGACCTGGCCTGCCTCCGTCCTCAGGCGGGCACCGGCCTGAGTTCCTGCTGACCCAGTCTCAGTGGGTGATGGAGGAAAGGCAGCTGGGGCTGGAGGGTGGGGTGGGGGGGGGCGTGGTGCTCTCACTCCCGTCCATACCACTTTGCCCAGGAAGATGGTGCTGCCGCTGGCCAGGATACAGGTGAGGCCCACCACCTTAGCCCCGAAGTTCTTGATGTCCAGGTAGTCCTCTAAGACCACGCCTGACAGGATGGTCTTCAGCTCCGGAATTCCAGAACCTTGGTGGGGTGGATGGACAGGGGCAAGGGGAGGGACCATCTCTAGCCTTATCCCTCTACCCTGCACAGGGTTTCACATTCGGGTCTTGTCAGGTCTCCTGAGCCCTGTCAGTGAGGGTTTATAAACTCGTTCTGCGGATGAGGGCTTCCCTGGTCAGACAGTGAAGAATCTACCAGCAATGAGAGAGCCGCGGGTTCGATCCCTGGGTGGGGAGGATCCCCTGGAGAAGGAACAGGCTATCCACTCCAGTATTCTTGCCTGGGAAATTCCATGGACAGAGGAGCCTGATGGGGCTACAGTCCATGGGATCACAAACAGTTGAACGTGAGTGACTAACACTTTTCACTTTCTGCGGATGAGGAAGCTGAGGGCCAGAGAGAGGGTGTGAACCGTCCACCTCCCTCCAGCTGGGCCTGCTGGATGCTATTGTGGGATGAGGGGAACTAGGAGGGACTCTCAGACCTCGCTCCCGTGACACACCCCTGCATCCCCCCTCTGCTGGCCTGGACCGGAGGCAGAGCTGCGAGTCCTGGCAGAGGCATATACTTCCATGAGCCCCTCAAAGCAGAGCCAGCAGCGACCTGGGGCAGGATCTGTCCTTTTCACTGTGTGACTTCGGGCAAGTGACACAACTCTTCTGAGCCTGGCTTCTCTGCCGAGAGGTGAGGTTACCGCTTCCTGCTATCCCCCAGAAGGAGCCCCACGGGACAGTCTTTGGCCAGCAAGCACTGCCGAGCAAGGCACACAGGCAGATGGTGTGGCGACTGGGCTTACCTCCCGAGAAGGGCGTGATACTCTGAGAGAAGCCTGAGGAGAAGGAGACCAGGGCCACGGGGTACACAGTCCAGGAGAGGTACCGGAGGAGGTGGCTGTCCCCAATCTCCCGGTACAGCCACTGGTGTGCTGGGGACAGTGGGGTGTCAAGGAGCCATCCACAGACCGCAAAACCCTCGGACACCCACTTGCTGGCGCTCAAGTGCAGGCCCAGAGGCCGCCCACAGAGAGGTGGCCAGGGCTACCCCGTGAGCAGCAGACCCCCAAGAGGAGGAAGAGCAGGACCCTGGATCCCTATCCCAGCGTTGCCACTCCTTGGCTGAGTGACATTTTGCAAGCTATTAACACCCCTGAGCCTCTGTTTTCCCCATCTGTCAAATGGGCTCTGATGGTAACACCCTCACAGGGACATTGTAAGAAACCCAGATGTGGTCTGGTGCCCGGCAGGTCCTTGTAAGGCTGCCAGAGCGACTTCCTGCCCCTCGCCCCCTTGCAGGGGGACCTCGGTGGAGGGAGCCTGCAGGAGCATGGGGAGGGAATGTTCTGTGCCTGGTGGTCTAGACGAGGGCCCTAGCCAGGGTTACTGAGCTGAGACCAGGGCAGGGGGAGCGGGGGCAGTGGTGGGCATGGAGCTCAGAGAAAGGGGGATGACTTGGTCTCTCGTCACTGAACAAACATGGAGTCTGAGGCCCGGGGAGGTGCCCAGGGTCACCCAGCATGCCAGGACCAGACCCAGTGCCCTCCCCGCCCCTGCTGCACCTGACAGCCCGCCCCGCAACCCCCCTCCCCGGCATCCCGAGAGCGTGCTGGGAGGCCTGACTCCAGAGCAGGTATGCATGTCGGCGGGGTTGTGGCGGGGGGTTACCTCGGACCACACGCCTGACGGTGAAGCTCATGGTGAAGCTGATCAAGGCCATGAGTACCCCGAGGACCGTCAGGAAGTACCAGTCCTCACCCACGCGGAACAGCTTCTGCTTCAGCCAGCCCAGGCCACCTGGGGCGGGGGCAGCTGTCAGAGCCCAGCGCCCAGGAGGGCAGAGAGGGAAGGTGCTGTGTGGGGCTGGGGTCAGGTGGGCCAGTCCTGGGAGGCTGGGAGGGGGCTCTGCCTCACTTGAGGGATGGCAGGATTTGTGGCAAGCGGAGGCAGTAGCACAGTGGGTGCCAGGCCCTGCCAGGAGGGTGCCTCTGACCGTCTGCCCCCCGCACCCCTGCCCCTTCCTGAGGTTCTGATGGAGGAAGAGGGGGAGCAGGGCGTGCAGGCCCGGGAGCAGTGCTCTCTTCAGCGTCTCTGCAGGGTCCACGGCAGAGAGAACGCCAGCATCTAAGGAGACTGCTCTGTCGTCCCAGGACCTGGGGGCCGTCCTGGGGTCATGCCGAGCGCATCCTGGGGCCCCCAACAATGCCCCCAGCAGGCAGGCCTGGGGGCCATGTTCCCAAAAAGCAGAGAGCCAGCCGCAAGCATGTCTGACCCACAGACAGGCGGACAGACCCCCCTCCCTCCCTCCTTCCCGTCACCCAGGAAACTCTGGACCCCGGGAAGGAGCGGGCTGCTCCTAGGCTCCAAGGCGAGTTGGGAGGCAGGCTGGGCAGGGTGCTGTCTCGAGGGGGCTCCCACAGGGAGTTGAGGGTGGGGAGCCCAGCTCTTACCTCGGATGCCTCGGCGGATGCGGGGACATGGACCCCAGAGCTCCTGGAGAGTCACAGGGCTCCCCGAGGAGCCCTCACGAAGCCCCACCAGCTCCTCCATCAGGCCTCTGAGGGAGCGCATGGGGAGATGGACCCTTGGTGAGCGGCGCCAAGGCCCTTCCCCTCCCTGCCACTGGGCCCTTCCCATCTCTGCTTCCCGGAGAGGAAGGAAAGGAGGCATTTTCAGGAGCGGACACAGCTCCTACGCGCCTTTGTTCCTGGGGGGTACCCCGAGGCTGCGCGTGCGCATGTGAACATTCAGGGTGGGGATGGGGTGTTTAGAGCGGCCCCTTCCATGTCTAGCAGCTGGTTGACCAAGGCCGGGCCCCCGGGAGCCATCACTCTGACTTGCCAGGACGCTTGACTGTTACTGCTGCTCGGGGCAGTCTCCTCACCCAGGGGAGTCACTGTCTAACCATGGGGTCCCCAGGCCCATCCCTGAGCCCCCGCCCCCGCAGCTGAGGCTTGAATCAGGAAAACCCAAGGTCCAGAGGCAGAGCCCCTGAGGGTCAAAAGGCAGCGCTGGCTCCCTGCTCCCAGCTTTCCACTCCCGCCCTGCACTGGTCCGGGCAGGTTTCGTCCAAGTCCATCCCGGCGCTGTACCCCGCGGCCCCTCACCTCGGTCAGTCCGCTCCGCTGTGACCCCAGCCAGCGCACCTCTGACAAGAGACTCCTTTGCTTGCAACTCAGGTGCACCTGGACAGGTGTGCATTCCACCAATCAACACTCTGCCCCCCCCCCCGCCCCCGCCCCTCCCCGCTGAGGTTTACCCTGGCCATTAAGAATGTCCTTGACAAACCGACTGGAACTGCCCCAGCCAGCGGAGCAGTACAGGCCAAAGCCGCCAGGAGGGGCCAGGGCAGGGGCTCCCCAACCTGCCAGAGCCACGCAGAGGCGGGGGGTGCCCACCTGAGCTGCAGGCTAGAGTCAGGGGGCCTGGGAGGGGGACGCTCGTGATGCAACAGGTCGCGTAGGGGTCTTCTGCTAGGGCTGAAGGTCAGGGCTGCAGATTCTCAGAGTTGGGCACGGGAGGGATTTGGAAGATCAGAGAAGAGAGAGTGGAAGGGCCCACCCAAACAGTGATGCTGTCCCTGACCCACAGGGCTGCTGGGAGGAGGACCTTGATGCACCCGTTCCCGTGCCCTGTTGGGGTGGGATAAAGTCTGTGGCCTTTACCCAGAAGCCCCAAGCACAACCACTGCCCCTGAGGTGCTGTGGTAGGAAAGGCAGTTTCGCAGACTGGGGGGTCTGGACGTGAGGATCTAGTCCAAGTTCCTCCCCCCGCCCCAATTCCCTGTTCCTGCTTCAGCCTGTAGGCCCCCTGCCCCCAGCTCTGAGCGAGGCAGGTCATCAAGGCAGGATCTTGGAGAGATCTCCAGGCTTGGGAGCCAGGCAAAGCAGGGTGGAACTTTGGGCTTTGCCCCTTGGCCTCTCTGACCCTGGGCAAGCACCCTCGCCTCTCCGAGGCTCCATTCTTTAAAATGGGCTGACACCTCTCACCTGCTTGGGTTTTCCTGGGCACTCACTAACCTGGAGGAGGGTTGAGCACAGTGCCTGGCACATGGCAAAGATGCAGTCGTACTAGCACCATTTTGCAAATAGTAAATGGAGCATCGGAGAGGTGAGTCACTCATCTAAGATCACAAAGCAGACGCTGAACCCAAACTCAGATTCTGTGGCTCTTCCTCTGCCCAGAGTCCCGAAGCTCCTGTGGCTTAAGCATTCAGGACAAGGGTTTAGGCACAGAGAGCAGAGGATCTCTGTCCGATATCACTTTTTGAAGATTTGGGCCAGAGATCTGGGACAACTCCCGCCCTCTTCCAGACAGTGCTCCCTTTCTGAAAATCACGATGGCCCTTCAGTGACTTAAACTCCTGAGACCCCGAGCCACCCTCTGCCCCTAGATGTCAGACCAAGTCCAAGCTAGGAGCCCATGTGTGCTGTGAGGGGTGGGGTGGGGGCTCACTGCTCTGCACAGACCGGAGCCCAACCTTGCTCAGCTGCTCCAACCTGTGTATAGTGACAGCGTTGCCGGCCGCCCTGTTGACACCCCAAACCTGTGTCTCCGCTCTTAGGCAGCCTCGGCTGGCCAGCCAGCAGCGCATGGCCACACCTCATCCCCCAGCCCTTCGAGCATCAGGGACCTGGAGAGAGGGTGGTGGGTGGACACCATGCCTGCGGCGAGTCCCTGCAGAGCCAGTCCCCGCATTGCAGCCCCCGGCGTCTCCTGCTTCTGCGTCAGGCTGTGAGGGCGGAGGGCAGGCTTGGCGCTGGAACAGCTCTCTTACCCTTGACCCGTTCTTCACCACTCGGAGCCTCAGTTTCCTCTTCTGTCCAGTGAGGGCTTCTCTGGGGGCTCAGACAGTAAAGAATCCACCTGCAATGCAGGAGGCCCAGGTTCCATCCCTGGGTCGGGAAGATCCCCTAGAGGAGGGCATGGCAACCCACACACCAGTATCCTCGCCTGGAGAATTCCAAGGACAGAGGAGCCTGGTGGGCTACAATCCATGGGGTCACAAAGAGGCGGACACGACTGAGCGACTGACACTTCACTTCTTCCAATGAGGGGACCTCAAGAGCCACGGGCGCAGGGCCCTGTCTCTGCCTCGTTCATCACCGTCACGGGTCCCCCAGGACCCGGACAATGTCTGGCTCAGAGCAGCTGTTCAGCCGTTACCTGCTGAGCCATGAGTGGTTTCCAAACGTTGGCCTGTGGGCTGGTTGAGTAGGGAACTGACAGGAGCACAGTCCCATCAGAATCTCTGGGTATGTGGGAAGAGTCTGTGTTTGTTAAAAGTTCCTGCAGGAGACTGAGGTGCCCTGGCAGGTTTGGGATTGAAGACACCGCATCATCTCTGAAGCCCCTTCTGTCCCTAGGATCTGAAGGGAGAGACAGGCGCAGAGACAGGGGAATGGACTTAATGACCTTCCTTTTGGCCACTGAAGCCAGTAGATCCAGTGCCTGTGTGGGTGATGCCCCGGGGGCGGGGGGAGGGGGGAGGCTCGGTGGGCGGGGGTGGGTAATGAGATCTGACGTCCAGGAGCAGTGACTCAGGCCTCCGCACCGTGACCGTGTATCTGCATTTAGCCACGGGCTCCTGTTTCCTGGCGGGCGGGCAGCAGGCCTCTGGCCCCCCAGCCCCACCCCCACTGTCCCTCTGTCTCACTTCAGTGCTGGTGACTTCCTGGCAGCCCTGCTGGAAGCCCCTCTTTGGTGGGGGGTGACCCAGCCAGGCAGGAATCTCCACTGGAGACACAGAACCCTCTTGCTCCAGCTGCCACCCTGACCCCACTGCATGGACCACCAGCCCCAGTCATCACCCATGTAGCTGGACCCCCGCCACACACACACCAAGGGGGAGGCTGTGCGGGACCCAGACAAGAGGGGAACGGTCTCCATGTTCAGGAGCCCCCATTCTGATGGGGCAGACAGGTGAAGACCTGCCTCAGGGGATTGGCAGTCTCAGACAGGAGCGGGGACACTGGAAGCCCGAGTCACACCCAGCGCCAGGGTGGGCAAGGCCAGCTGGTACAGTGTGCACTGGGGCAGGACCTCCTTCGTGGGCTGCAGCAGTCAGAGAGACCTCCATGGGGAGGAAGAACCAGCTCTGGTCTGGGAAGGAGGGGAGCAAGGGCCCCAGCCTCCGAGGTCAGCCTTCCCTGGCACCCCCTGATGCTGCGTGATGTCAGGCCAGGCTCCGTGGGCCTGTGTGTGAGCAGGGGCTTCTTGGTGTTCTGGGCCAGCCTGTCTCCTTATATGGATGTTCAGGTCGCCCGCTGACCTGTGTGTGAACAGGGGCCTCTCAGGGGGTTCTGGGCCAGCCTGTCTCCTTACATGGATGTTCAGGTTGCTCTGGCTTCCTGGGGGGGTTTGGGTCAGATACCTCCAGTTTTAGATCCCAGCTCTGCCACTTCCCAGGTGCAAGCCCCAGGCTCTCTGTGAGGCTCTGTTTCTCCATCTCTAAAATGGGAGCAACCTCTCCTTGCAGGGATTGAATGAGGCCACACTGGAAAGCTCCCAGCCAGGAGCCCAGGCCCAGCAGGCCCCTCAGAACTCAGAGCTAGAATAACCGTCTGGCCGAGCCTCCTTTACCCCCAACTGAAACCTCTCCTGCTGCCTCCCCGGCCTCTCCTCTGAGCTGGAGGTCAGGCAGACAGCTCCTGGGAACAGAACCTTCTATATCGTTAGGGACCATTCCTGAATCATCTGCTCTCCTCCCCTGAGTCCAGACCCAACCCACCCTGCCTCAGCTTTCTCCTCTGGGTCTTGAAACGTTCCAGAGTCGGGGTGGTGGGAGGGGCGGGGGGCAGAGAGACAAGCCTGACATCTGGGTCCCTTGGGGGGCTGGGAGGGGAAGAGCTGCATGTTTTATTTCCCCCTTCAGGGCTGTCTCAGGCCTCCCAAGAGATGACCGTGAAGGTTATCTGTCCTGGTTGGGGAAGCCCTTGCCTCACACGGGGATTCCCATGGGTGGGGGTCCCCCATGCACCCCTGACCTTGCATCTCCTGACCTCCTCAGATCTAGGGCCTTGGTCCTCTGCCCTGATCCCTCGCACCAAGGGCTGAAACTTCGGGGGAAAGGGGGCAGGAGAGAGAAAACCCTCTGCAAGAGGTCTGCAGTCTGATGAGGGAGGCACACTTCTTCCACTGCTGGGGGAAGACAGAGACTCAGAGACAGGCATGCACAGGGGCCTGAGGCAGGCTCCCGGTCTGAGCGGTGGGGGGCGTGGACAGCCAGGCCCCCGCGTGGTTGCCGTGGCGGCTCCGCTCCGGGGCTGGAGTTATCAGCCTGGAATGCCAGGCGGTGAGCTCAGCCTCGCGGCCGCCCGCGTTAAACTGTCAACAGGGCTGTCTCACTGGAGAAGCTCCCCAGCCCCTCTGGGCCACGGAGAGGACTAAATTTAGCCGGTAGACAAGAGGCTGGCCCCGCGCCCGGGGCTGCCGGGCCTTATAAAGCGGCGGCGGCCGGGGCCCGGCAGCTCCCCGAGCCCTCTGCCCCCCGTGCTGCCTGCCCGCCCAGCCCGCCGGCCGGGGCCTGCCGCCACCCGTGGATGAGCCACAGGACCTCCTCCACCTTCAGAGCGGAGCGGAGCTTCCATTCCTCCTCCTCCTCCTCCTCCTCGGCCTCCCACAGCCTCCCGGCCCAGGACCCACCCATGGAGAAGACCTTGAGCATGTTCTCCGAGGATTTTGGCAGCTTCATGCGGCCCCACTCGGAGCCCCTGGCCTTTCCAGGCAAGTGCTCGGGGCCCCGTGGGAAGGGGAGCTGCGCAGGGCGGGGACACGCGACGGCGTGGCCACCGCCGCACCTCCAGCGACAGGTGCTACAGCTGCAGCCCCGCGTGGCCGCCGGGGCAGACGTGGCCGGACTGGCCTTCAGGAGACAGTGCTGGCCTGGGGTCAGCTCTGGTGCCCGGGTCAGGCGGGGCCTGGGGCCAGGTCCTCTCTGGAGTCCTGAGATCTGCAAGCCTGGGGGAGGCACGCAGACCCCCCTCCTGCAGGCCTGGGGCGGGGCCCTGCAGAGCGTCATACACGCACGCCCCTCCCCCACAGCCTCTGCTGGGCAAGGCCCCGCCCCCTCGGTGCAGAAGGTGGGCCGCAAAGGGTGAGGGGGGCGGGCCGGTTAGGAGCCATGGTTGAGGGGGCGGCAAGGCCTCAGGGTCTGCCCCTTCACCCCGCACCGAGAGGGAGCCGGAAACCTGGCCCTGGGGACCAGCCTGCCCTGTGCTCTGCCCGTCCAGCACTCCCCACGGCCCGCGCCGGGGGACCGGGCAACATCAAGACCCTGGGAGACGCCTACGAGTTTGCTGTGGACGTGAGTGACTTCTCACCTGAAGACATCATCGTCACCACCTCCAACAACCACATAGAGGTGCGGGCTGAGAAGGTGAGCCTGTTCCCCCTCAGCGACCCTGGACTTCACACCCGTACCCTCTGCACAGGCCCCCCCCCCCACCACCCCGCTACGTCCCATCCTGGGACCCTGCACCCTGACAGCGCCCCCCAACCCCCAGGACAAACAGGAGGCCTTGCTCCTGTGGCTGGTGGGCCACAGGACCCTTTCACTGCCCCTCTCTGCCCCAGGCTCCCAGGGGCTTTCTTCAGGAGCCAGGGGAGCCACAGGGGAGGGGGGAGGGGCAGAGGGGTGCAGGAGGGGCCCCCAGGAGGCGAGGCAAGAAAGGGAGCTGAGAGGGGGAGGGCGGCCCTCCCTCTCGGCCTGTGGGTGGTGGGCGCCTCATGCCCGGGGGCAGCTGGGGAACGAGCTCTCGCCCCTGACGCCCCTCAAGGCCTCGTTTCTCCCAGACCCAGGGGCCCGGCTAGCATCTCATCTCTGAACCCCTGAACTGGGCTCAGGGTCAGGAGGCCTGCACCCTGGAGAAGGGGGTGGCTGTGGCTGAACAGGGAGGTGCCCCTTAGAGGAGAGGGGCTGCCCACGGCCGCCTCTGATGGCCCGGCTTCCTCCCTTGAGCCCAGAGGGCCCCCATCAGGGAGCCAGGCCCTGCGGTGCCAGGACCAGTGGGCAGCACGTGCCCGCCCTGCCCCCACCACTGACTCAGCCGCCCGGGCTCTGCTGGACACTGTGTGCTGGCGGCGTCAGGGGCCGCGGCTGCCAGCGGCTGACGGACATCCACGCACGGGAATGCGAGCGTAGCTCTGCGCTCCTTGCTGCTCAGGATCCCCGGAAACGCGCCCCCCCCAGCCTCCCCACTTCTCCTCTGGGCTCCCCCACCGAGCCTCGCCCTCCCCCGGCCCGCTGGGGTCCTCTGAGCTCCTCTGCACGTTCCAGTGCAGCTCGGCGCTCAGCCAGAGGCCACCGCTGCCCCGGGCAGCTCCGATGCCAGGCCCTCGCACCTGAGAGCAGGAGCCCAGGGCGTGAGGGGCCCAGCTGGGGTGGGAGCAGGGAGCAGGGGCTGGGGCTTGACGTGAACAGGCGGAGGGGTTTGGGGGGCGTGGAGGGGGGCAGCCCGCCCTGATCCTTCGGCCCTTCCCCAGCTGGCAGCCGACGGCACCGTCATGAACACCTTCGCTCACAAGTGCCAGCTGCCGGAGGACGTGGACCCCACGTCAGTGACCTCGGCCCTGCGGGAGGACGGCAGCCTCACCATCCGGGCCCGGCGCCAGCCCCCCACGGAGCACGTGCAGCAGACCTTCCGGACGGAGATCAAGATCTGAGGGCCGCCCCGCCGCACCCCCCACTGCCCCGTGTCGTGTTCTCCCCCTCCGGCCAGCCAGAGTGGCTCTCCTGATCCCCTCGTGTCAGCTCTGGGGACGTCTCAGCCCAGGTTCCCGGCCCTGACACCCCACCCCACCCCAGACCCCAGGTGGGTCATCCCCACCCCCAAATGAGGGCTTCTTCTCTACCCAGGGCAGGCCGGGGACCCCCCTGTCTCACTTGTGGCCCCCAGATTGCAGATACGGCCTTAATCCAGAACAAAGGGTTTGGGATGGGAACAGGAGATCCCAGAGAACCCGGTTTGGAGAAGGGGGCTGGGACAGGCAAGCTGGGCAAATAATCTGCAGGACAGACAGACATAGTCTTTCATCTTTGGAGTCGCTGCAGGGCAGGGGAACTGGGTACCCGGGACCGCCTTGGCCAAGGGGAGCAGGAGGGCGGAGGGAGGTCACTGGCAGAGGCGCCCATGAAACCCAACTGCCAGACATGGAGAGGCAGGAGACAGCCCTGAGGGTCCGTTTCCCTGCAGCCGCTCTCCAAGCCCAGAGACCGCTGCCAGGCTGCCCGCTCACAAGGTGCCCCATCCAGCCCAATGCCCCCGGGCAGGGCCATGTTGTGTCTGTATATAGATGGGGTTTTTCCAATACAGCTGGCTCGTGATAAACTGTGTGAACCATCTGTCACCTGCTCATACCTCCAGGGAAGCCTGGGCCGGGGGGCGGGGCTGACCCTTCCTCCTCCCACCCGGAGACCTGGGCTCCTAGGACTGTCTCCACTGCAGACAAGTCACCCAACAAAAGGAAGCATGGATGGGGCTTGAGTCCTGGAGGTAGGATCCCAGCTTCCCACCAACCTTCCCTTGTGGCCGTCTGCCTTCCCCATCCTCCCTATCTATTATCTGTGAAACTATAGGCATGGAGTGTGTGTATACCACATGCACACAAACAGGTGCGCATGCACACACACACACACACACACACACATGCCCGGTTACCCTTGTCCTTCAAATACTAAGCGTTACCATTGGTTGCAGCCAAATTCAGAACTTTCTTTCTCAAATTTTGGTCACACCCTGCAGCCTGTGGGGTTCCCTAAGCAGAGATTGAACCCGCACCCACTATGTGGGGAGGCGGAGCCTTAACCACTGGACCACCAGGAAACTCTCAGAACACTCTGAAATCAGGTTTACAATCTCCACTTGTTACTTTTATCAGTGGGGAAGGAGTGAGCAGCTGAGCAGCCAGCTTGCCCACTGAAGCATGGGTTTGAACCCAGGATGTCGGAAGCCACTCTCGAACCCCACCTGCCCCTCCGTGCAGAGGGGAAGAGCTCCCCTGTTCTGCCTCTCTGCCCTGCACCCACCCCACAGCTTCCTGCTAGAGAGAGAATGCCCCACCCCTGTCCCTCCTCATCCCCAGGCCAGGACAAGGACCTCCTGCCAGCCTCCATTCTGGGGACCCCCAGCTGCCCCCCACGACCCAGGCGCAGTCTCCCACATTCAGAGGTAGGGCTGAGCAGGGAGGGTGGGTCCCTGTCTGTCTGGCCTCCTGCGCTTCCTGGGTCAGTGCTCTGTGAAGTGGCCTCGTCCCTGCCGTTCTGGGGCCCTCAGGGGATGACCCGGGGTGGGGTGGGTCCTTGCGTTGTATCCTGCACACACAATAAACAGCAGAATCACTGGCTTCTGGAGGTCACCCGCCTGAAGTTTTCAAGCTTGGGGTAGGGCAGGAATGGAAAGCTGGATAAACATCCATCTTTCTTGAGATTGGGGGGGCTGGGGTGGTAGCTCAAGTAAAGGTCAAGACGGCACAGAAATATGGGTTCCTTTGGCCTCCTGCCTTGGTTCCCCGGCCCATTGGGCAGCCTTCTGGGAATGGTTTCCCTGAAACACTTGCATCGCCTTCTCTTCCAACTGCCAGCCCCTGCTCCTACCTGCCAGGCGCTGTCCCAGGCACGGGGACACCAAGAGTGGGCCAGCTGCACTGGGCGGCTTTTGAAGCCAGTCTTGTTACTAGCCGGGTTGGAGGACCACAGAGGCTGAGGGACTAACCTAGGGGCACACAGCCCGGGCAGAGGCCGGCTGGAACCTGGCGGGGAGCAGACCGGTTCAGGGAGTCTGAGCGCCCTTTGGAAGGACGCCCCACACAAACCACCAGGCGCTACTGAAATCGGAGTTCCAGGCAGCTAGGGGCAGTCTGGAGGAGGGGAGGGAAGGGAGGCAAGGGGCACGGTATTTCCAGTCTCCGTGACTCACTGATTCCACCGGGCTATTTGCAGCCCCAACACTCATCGCTGAGGAGTTGGGGGGAGGAGGGACCAGCTCTCCCACTCCTCCGACCCCTACTTGGGGCCAGGCTCACCTTGGCATCCCCAGCCCAGCGGAGTCTCTCCCTGGGCCAGGAAAGGGGGCAGCTCCCCGGTGGCCAATGGGGCCGAATGTTCCCCACCCTTAGGGCCCCAGCGGCCCCTCCCCAGAAGGGGCTTTTAGAGGCTGAGGGAGCCGGTGGAGACTGAAGGCGCCCTCCTGCCAAGGTGACCCGCGGAAGAGGAGGGCGGGGCTGGAGACCTCGGGCTCAGCGCGTTGGCTCCGCCCCCTGGCGCGGGGCGGGCGGCAGCTCTTTGTTTCTACTGGACCCCTACGCTTTCCAGGTTAAAAATAGACCTGGCTGCGGGTCCTGGGATCCGCCCCCGCCACGTGAAAAATAATTATAGCAGCCCCATTCATTGAGCTCCTAGTGTGTGCCAAACACCTGCTCATACCCACCATCCTGCAAGGTGGGCACCAAGAAAGGCAGGCGGTTCAGAGAAGTCAAGTGACTGGCCCAAGGTCACACAGCTGGGAAGTGGCATGGCTAGAATGTGAATCACTGTGGCTCTAGAATGTCCTCTGCTGGGCCAGCTCAGATCAGTCCCCCACTCCCTGCCCTTCTGTATAGGGAAGGGGAACACTTACATCTTACAGCTTTAGCAGAGCGTGTGGGCAGGAGGCCGGGGAAGTTGAAAACATGCAGCCTTCCAGGGCTGGAAATCTGTGAACAAGTCCAGGTCCAGTGCCTGATGGGTGTGGAGGAGCTAGGAGGTGCCAACACTTTCAAAGGCCTAGCCCAGTGCTCGCTTCGGCAGCACATATACTAAAATTGGAACGATACAGAGAAGATTAGCATGGCCCCTGCGCAAGGATGACACGCAAATTCGTGAAGCGTTCCATATTTTTAGACATACGGATGGCAAAAAAACACATGAAAAGATGCTCAACATCACTCATTATCAGAGAAATGCAAATCAAAACCACAATGAGGTACCATTACACGCCAGTCAGGATGGCTGCTATCCAAAAGTCTACAAGCAATAAATGCTGGAGAGGGTGTGGAGAAAAGGGAACCCTCTTACACTGTTGGTGGGAATGCAAACTAGTACAGCCGCTATGGAAAACAGTGTGGAGATTTCTTAAAAAACTGGAAATAGAACTGCCATATGACCCAGCAATACCACTTCTAGGCATATACACCAAGGAAACCAGATCTGAAAGAGACACGTGCACCCCAATGTTCATCGCAGCACTGTTTATAATTGCCAGGACATGGAAGCAACCTAGATGCCCATCAGCAGATGAATGGATGAGGAAGCTGTGGTACATATACACCATGGAATATTACTCAGCCGTTAAAAAGAATTCATTTGAATCAGTTCTAATGAGATGGGTGAAACTGGAGCCCATTATACAGAGCGAAGTAAGCCAGAAAGATAAAGACCATTACAGTATACTAACACATATATATGGAATTTAGAAAGATGGTAACAATAACCCTATATGCAAAAAAAGAAAAAGAGACTCAGATGTATAGAACAGACTTGTGGACTCTATGGGAGAACCCGGGGGTGGGATGTTTCAAGAGAACAGCATCGAAACATGTATATCTAGGGTGAAACAGATCACCAGCCCAGGTTGGATGCATGAGACAAGTGCTCAGGCCTGGTGCACTGGGAGGACCCAGAGGGATGGGGTGGAGAGGGAGGTGGGAGGGGGGACCGGGATGGGGAATACATGTAAATCCATGGCTAATTCAATGTATGACAAAAACCACTGCAATGCTGTAAAGAAAAAAAAAAAAAAGGCCTAGCCCAGACCAAAAGCCTCCTCCTCCCAAAAGTCCCCCAGAGTTACCAGGTCAGAGTCACAGAGCTCAAGGAACCCTAGGCCCAAAACTTGTGTTTAAAAGAAGCTCAGATTCAGATGAGATGAGCACATGCCCGGGGCTGAGGGCAGACTTGAGACTTGGTTGGCCAGCCCCATATCCTCTGGGAGTCACTCCCAATTCCTCATGGTTTGATGGGGGACCCAGAGCCTGGGAGGGGTAGGGCCTTGCCCTCGGTCACAAAGCAAGTCAGTGTCAGAGACGGGATGAAGACCAGGCCTCTAGAACTTCAGGCCAGAGCTTCTTTACCAGACCACCCCCCATCCCCAGACCACCCTTCCCTGACCCACTTCCCCGTTGTACCTCTCCATCTTCCCTCACCCCTGTCCGCTTCCTGTCTGCCTTGGATCCCAGTTCTGCGATGGCAGAAGATGCCTTATTCTGCCTTCTTGCTCCCAAGCCCAGCATGGGAAAGGAGCTAAATAAATGCTTGTGGAATTTTCAAAAAAGCTCAGAAGCCTTAGTAAAGAGTGGCGGGTCCTTGGTGGCCCAGTGGATAAGAATCCACCTGCCAATGCAGGGGATGTGGGTTCATCCCTGATCCTGGGAGATTCCACATGCTGCGAAGCAACCAAGCCCCTGTGCCACAGCTACTGAGCCCGAGTGCTGCGGTGGCTGAAGCCTGCACGCCTGGAGCCTGTGCTCCACAGAGAAGCCCATGCACCGCAGCAAAGAGCAGCCCCCGCCCACCGCAACTAGAGAAAGCCGGGGCGCAGTGGCAGCGACGACCCGGCGCAGCCAAAAATACAAATATAAAATCTAAAAACTTACTTTAAAAAAAAAAAGAGTGGAGGCTCAGGACTTTCCTGGTGGTCCAGTGATTTGGGTTTGATCCCTGGTCAGGGAACTATGATCCCACATGCCAGGACTGGGAGAGAGGCAACTAAGCCAGAACGCTGCGCATCTGTCGAGCTGGCGCACCACAACCAGAGAGTCCACGAAGCTGCAATGTGGGCAGATCCTGTGCACCACACCTGAGACCTGATGCGGCGAAATAAGTTAAAAAGCGTAGTTCAAGCGGGGCCCTAGACATGGATAGGTGACTAACGATTGAAAGTGTGTGATGTATAGATTTCATTAAAACAAAGAGTGGAGGATCAGCTGTAGACTCTGGAGCCACACCACCTGGGTTCAACTCTTGTCTCTGCTGCTTGTGAGCTTCGTGATCTTGACTAAGTAACTTAACCTCTCTGTTGCACCATGGCAAGAATACACAGAAGAACTGTACAAAAAACATCTTCACGACCCAGATAACTACGATGATGTGATCACTCACCTAGAGCCAGACATCCTGGAATGTGAGGTCAAGTGGGACTTAGGAAGCATCACTACGAACAAAGCTTGTGGAGGGATGGAATTCCAGTTGAGCTATTTCAAATCCTAAGAGATGATGTTGTGAAAGTGCTGCACTCAACATGCCAGCAAATTTGGAAAACTCAACAGTGGCCACAGGACTGGAAAAGGTCACTTTTCATTCCAATCCCAAAGTTGAAAATGCCAAAGAATGCTCAAACTACTGCACAATTGCACTCATCTCACATGCTAGCAAAGTAATGCTCAAAAGTCTCCAAACCAGGTTTCAACAATACGTGAACCATGAACTTCCAGATGTTCAAGCTGGTTTTAGAAAAGGTAGAGGAACCAGTGATCAAATTGCCAACATCCGCTGGATCATCGAAAAAAGCAAGAGAGTTCCAGAAAAACATCTATTTCTGCTTTATTGACTATGCAGAAGCCTTCGACTGTGTGGATCACAACAAAGTGTGGAAAATTCTGAAAGAGATGGAAATACCAGGCCACCTGACCTGCCTCTTGAGAAATCTGTATGCAGGTCAGGAAGCAACAGTTAGAACTGGACATGGAACAACAGACTGGTTCCAAATCGGGAAAGGAGTACGTCAAGGCTGTATATTGTCACCCTGCTTATTTAACTTCTATGCAGAGTAAATCATGAGAAGTGCCAGACTGGATGAAGCACAAGCTGGAATCAAGATTGCCGGGAGAAATATCAATAACCTCAGATATGCAGATGACATCACCCTTATGGCAGAAAGTAACAAAGAACTAAAGAGCCTCTTGATGAAAGTGAAAGAGGAGAGTGAAAAAGTTGGCTTAAAACTCAACATTCAGAAAACTAAGATCATGGCACCCAGTCCCATCACTTCATGGCAAATAGATGGGGAAACAGTGGAAACAGTGACAGATTTTATTTTTTGGGGGGCTCCAAAATCACTGCAGATGGTGACTTCAGCCATGAAATTAAAAGATGCTTACTCCTTTGGAGAAAAGCTGTGATCAACCTAGACAGCATATTAAAAAGCAGAGACTTTTTATGTTACATTACTTTGCCAACAAAGGTCTGTCTCGTCAAGGCCATGATGGTTTTTCCAGTAGTCACGTATGGATGTGAGAGTTGGACTATAAAGAAAGCTGAGCCCTGAAGAATTGATGCTTTTGAACTGTGGTGTTGGAGAAGACTCTTGAGAGTCCCTTGGACTGCAAGGAGTTCCAACCAGTCAACCCTAAAGGAAATCAGTCCTGAATATTCATTGGAAGAACTGATGTTGAAACTCCAATACTTTGGCCACCTGATGCAAAGAACTAACTCATTGGAAAAGACCCTGATGCTGGGAAAGCTTGAAGGTGGGAGGAGAAGGGGATGACAGAGGATGAGATGGTTGGATGGCATCACTGCCTCAAGGGGTATGAGTTTGAGTAAACTCTGGGAGTTGGTGATGGACAGGGAGGCCCGGTGTGCTGCAGTCCATGGGGTCACAAAGAGTCAGACACGACTGAACGACTGAACTGAACTGTTGCACCATAAATGGTGCTAACAGGTTCTACCTGCTGTGGTTGTTTTGTAATACACTTAAAGGGCTTGGTACATATGGTTGACTATAGTTCACATATGCCATGCACTGAAAACACCCAGCAGGGCTCATTTAGAGCCCCCTAATCTCATTTCTGTTTGAATCCTGACACTCCATCTCTGGCTCCATTAAGATGAAGACTTGGACTGGAAGGGCAGAGGAGCTGCCTTGTACCTGGGGTCCTCTTTCCAGGAAAAGCAGGTGAAACAGACGGAAAAGGTAGGTTCCTGGGACTTCCCGGTGGTACAGTGGGTGAGAACCCACCTGCCAGCACCGGGGATACAGGTCCGATCCCTGGTCCCAGAAGATTCCACGTGCCACGGAGCAACTGCAGTCCGCGCACCACAACCACTGAGTCTGAGCTCTAGCGGCCTCTCGATGCACCTCCTGAGCCTGGAACCCATGCTCTGTGACAAGAGGAGCCGCCAAAATGAGAAGCCCCAGCACTGCAAGGAGTGGCCCTCGCTCACGCAGCTAGAAAGCCCGAGCGCAGCAACACAGACCCGGTGCAACCAAAAAAAAAATTAATAGTAATAATAATAAAGTGGTAAGTTCTCCAAGGCCCTCCTGGAAGACCTGTCTGGGCCCTGGGGGTGGGGGAGGTGGGCAAGAGAAGCACCTGGAAGCCTTGGTTTCCTCTTCCACAAACAAAGATCAGGTAGCACCCTCCCAGGCCCACTGTGACAGCCAGAGCCAGATGGTGTTTAGTGTAAGCTTGGGAAATGCTAAGCTCCTGTTAGAATCTGTGTGTTTGTTTTCTGAATGAGGAAACCCAAGCTTCCACCCCCTGACTCTGCCCTCACACGGGAGAGCGTCCTGAGGAGCAGGGAGGTTGGAGTCTGCCAGGCTGGGGTCCCAGGCAGGAGCCTCTGGGCAGCGGGATGGTGCTGTTTACAGTCAGCACAGCGGGCCTGGGCTACCCCGAGCAGCCCCAGACCTGTCCTGAGCTCTGGGGCCTTCCAGTGCCTGGACCCAGGGGCAGCTCTCCCTGGGGGTTTGGGGGCTGCTGGCAGGGTGGGGGCCCTGGGGAGCCTTCCTGAGGGGCATGAAGCCGGGCCGCTGGCCCCAGGGAGCCGGAGGGGAGAGAGCAGACTGCAAACCTGCCTCTCCCTCCTTGCTTCCCTCCCTTCCTTCTGCTTCTTCCTCCCTTTCTTCCCACACAATTCTTGAGCACGTACCATGCACCAGGCACTTTTAGGGCACTGGGGACACAGTCCTGATAGGCATGGCTGCCGACCTGGAGACACACTCACCGATTCACACTTCTACTCGCTGCTTCAGGAAGGTCTTTCTTCTTTGTTGGTTCATCCTCTCAACAGCTTTTCAGTAAGTTTCTGTGATATGGTGGGTAGATAAAACTCTGAGGACGCGCCGTCTCCATTTCAGCCCTGGCTCTGCCACTCGCTGTCTGCATGACCTTGGGCTAGTCACTCCACCCAGCCGGGCCTCAGTCTCCGTATCTGTACAATGGGGCGGCCCCCACAGGACTGTGGGGAAGAGATGAGGTGTTCTCCTCCACCTGTGTGCCCAGCTCACTGAGGGCCTCAGTCCCTTGTTCAACCCTCAGACACCCCCGCACACAGCCAGACCCTGGGGACTGTTCCTTGGGGAATGATCCCTGGGGACCGTTCACTCACTCCTTCAGCAAACACGAGCACAGCACCTACAGCGCAGTACAGGCTTACGACGCTGTAACTGCATAGTCACACTGTCTGCGGTTTGGACTTGGTGAACTTGGGGAGATCATTTCATCTCTCTGTGCCTCAGTGTCTTCACGGGTCCAGTGCGAGAGGAACTGAAGTGGCATCAACAGTGACTATTCGAGAGGAAAGGAACATGGATTAGGGTAAAAGCCTGGCTTCTGAAAGCTTGGCCCTCCCCCAGCCCGGAAGGCGTGGCTGCCCAGTCTGATGTTGGGGCGACACCTGCTGGCAGGAAGCTAGGCCTGCAGCCCTACCCTCTTCCTGCAGGGTCTCAGACTTCCAGCCCTGCCTCTGGTCTCTGCTAGTATAGTGATTCTCAGCAAGGGGAGGACAGAGGAGGGGATGTCAACAGTCCAGACTCCTCTCTCACCACCTCTCTAGGACAGATAATTACTGCCTTTGCCTGGATTAAGATGCAGCTTCCTCCCCTGCCTTCCTCTCCCAGCACAAGAGCTAAGGCATCTTTTTTTTATAAGGTGGGTCATAATTTCCAGTAGTCCCCATCTCAGAGGCCTGCAAGGCCTCCCGTGAGATGGTCCCTGTCACTTCTCCGGCCTCTGTTTGGAGTGTGTACATGCATTCTCTCCCCCAGCTGGAGGACAAGCTCCTTGATGGCAAAGCCTTGTCTGTCTGTCACTGTTCTATCCCAGGGTCTAGCCCAGAGTCTAGCAAACAGTGGGCGCCCAACAAATACTTGGTGAATGAATGAATGAATACTCCAGCCAGACTGGCCCTTCTCCCTGGAGCACTCCCCACTCTTGCCCCTTGCCTTGGTATGACTCACTCGACTGGTCAGATTTTAGTTTAGATGCCACTTCCTGCATGAAGCCCTCCTGATCTCCTCTCCTGAGTGGCCTGGGCACCCTCCTCCAGCCCCAATCTCATTCTGTGTGCCCTTACTGCTGCACTTACCAGAAGTTACAACAATCAGCAATCGTCTTCTTTCTCACCTCCCCTACTTGGCTGTGAGCGCCTTGAGGACAGGGTCTGCTCTCTCTAGATCCCCTCTGTTTAGAAGAGACACTGCCAGGAAGAGAGGCCATCTGCGGTAGGGCTGGTTTGGGTTCTAAGCCCAGCTCCACCTGTCTACGGACCTTGAGTGCACGCCTCAACTTCTCTGTGCCATGGTTCTCTAATATGTGAAATGGATTAAAAAAAAAAAGGCGCTTCTCTGTACAGGCATTTCCCTGGCACAGAGCAAATGGTCAATACATGTTAGCCACCAGTGTTTGTGTGTGCATGCTAAGTCACTCAGTCATGTCTGACTCTTTGCAACTCTATGGACTGTAACCCACCAACCTTCTCTGTCCATGAGATTCTCTAGGCAAGAAAATGCTGGAGTGGGTTACCATGCCCTCCTCCAGGAGATTTTCCGGACCCAGGGATCAAAACTGTGTCTCATATGTCTCCCGCATTGGCAGGCAGTTTCTGTACCATGAGTGCCACCTGGGAAACCCACCAGTGTTTGTAGGAACCTATTAAAACATTAGTGAATAAATGAATATTCAACAATTTAAATCCAAGAGCCTTGAGACCCTCTTCATCAGCATCTCTTAGACCTTCATCTTCCCTCAGAGCAACTTCCACTTCCTGCTGAGGACCAGGATTGCCCTGGGGGAAAGGGACAAAGTTCCCTCACCTACTTTTCTGTGTCCCTGGGGGCAGTATAAGCCTGGTCTGTAGTGGATGCTCAATAAGTAATATCTCATTTTCACCTGTTCAAGCATGATACTCCCTTCCCTTTCTGAGTACTTCCACCCCCATCCTGAGAACTCAGTTCCCCTCATTTCCCACCCCATCTGGGTCCTTAAATCTCCCATCCTGAGTCCCGTGCCCTCCCAGTGATCCCTGGTGACCTACACCCTTGCACGGTGAGCTCAGATGACTGCAGCCACTGTACCGCCCCTGCCCGTTGTGCTGGGAGGTTCTGACTCCTACTCTGGATGAGAAACCAACCAGGTGATCCTGGGGAGGATAGTTCCCAGTGCTGGCTCCTTCTCATCTTTTCAGTTCAGTTCAGTCGCTCAGTCATGTTCGACTCTGTGCGACCCCATGAACCGCAGCACGCCAGACCTCCCTGTCCACCATCAACTCTCAGAGTCCACCCAAACTCATGTCCACCGAGTCGGTGATGCCATCCAACCACCTCATCCTCTGTCGTCCCCTTCTCCTCCTGCCCTCAATCTTCCCTAGCATCAGGGTCTTTTCCAATGAGTCAGCTCTTCACATCAGGTGGCTAAACTATTGGAGTTTCAGCTTCAACATCAGTTCTTCCAATGAATATTCAGGACTGATTTCCTTTAGGATGGACTGGTTAGATCTCCTTGCAGTCCAAGGGACTCTCAAAAGTCTTCTCCAACACCATAGTTCAAAAGCATCAATTCTTTGGCGCTTGGCTTTCTTTATAGTCCAACTCTCATATCCATGCATGACTACTGGAAAAACCATAGCTTTGACAAGATGGATCTTTGTTGACAAAGTAATGTCTCTGTTTTTTAATATGCTGTATATGTTGATCACAACTTTCCTTCCAAGGAGTAAGCATCTTTTAATTTCATGGCTGCAATCACCATCTGCAGTGATTTTGGAGCCCAAAAAAGTAAAGTCAGTCACTGTTTCCACTGTTTCCCCATCTATTTGCCATGAAGTGATGCGACTGGATGCCATGATCTTAGTTTTCTGAATGTTGAATTTTAAACCAACTTTTTCACTCTCCTCTTTCACTTTCATCAAGAGATCATACTTTTAGATCATCTTTTAGATCATACTTTGTTCCCCATTCAGAGAGGCCTTTCCCAACCAAAATATCAAAAAAACCTCTTGCCACGAATTCCCTGTGAGTCCAGTGGTTAGGACTCTGCACTCCCATTGCAGGGGGCACAGGTTCGATCCCTGGTTGGGGAACCAAGATCCTGCATGCCATGCAATGCATGCTAATTTGCTTCAGTGGTGTCCGCCTCTTTGCAATCCTGTGGACTGTAGCCCACCAGGCTTCTCTGCCCATGGGGTTCTCCAGTCAAGAATACTGGAGTGGGTTGCCATGCCCTCCTCCAGGGCATCTTCCCAACCCGGGGGATCGAATCTGTGTCTCATTACAGGCAGATTCTTTGCCGCTGAGCCACTGGAGAAAACCCTGCATGTCAAGAGGAGCAACCATTAAACAAAACAAAACAAAACAAAAAACCCACCTCTTTGTTCCATCATCTTCCATCCCACCACCTTGCTCGGTTTCTATACAGCACTCATTATACTGTTCAAATAGTCTTTATTGGGTTGTTTAACCTTTCTCCCCCACCCTCAGGAATACAAACTCCAAGAAAGCTGCAGTGTCTTTTTCAGTGCTTTTGCAGGGCTGGGAATTGGGAGATGCTGCATTAGAATATGCTGTGTGACTGACTCAGCCTCATTCTACCTGGTGGTGCCTTATCCTGTTGCCGCTGAAAGGCTAGCAAAGATGGAGAGGAAGGAAGAAGTAGGATGCTTGGGGCTGTTTCAGATGTCCTTTCGGATCTAACTCTCCTTCTCTGGCTCAGGTAGAAAAGCCTTCTGCTCCGCTGGGGAGGCGGGCGTGGACCCGGGGAATCGTGCACGGATCCCCGAGCCTCCCCACCCACGGCCAGGCTTCCGCAGTCAATCCGCCTGTGCGCAGACGCAGGAGGAGAGGGCCTTGAGGGAGCCGATGACCGTTCCCCACGCGGAGGACCGCGAAGACACGGCCTTCACCGGGCTCCCCTTGGCTTCAGGAGCCTCTGCAAGGCCTCCTGGGCTGCCTGGGGGGGAAGCTTGGGCCGTAGTCCCTCTGCAGGGGGCACCTGGGCAGGGCCCCCCGGCCGGCGCAAGGTCCCTCCCACCTAGCGGAGCCTCCCGAGTCAGGTTGGGGGACTGCTTTTCCCCGCATAACAAGATGTAGGTCTTCATCGGAGGGACGGCAGGTCCCGGTTTGGGACTGGGGGTGCGGGGTGGCCCCGGGGGTGCTGCCAGGGAGATCTGCTTCCCTCGCGCACAGTCGATGACGAAGATCAGGTGAGCTCTGGGGATGGCCTTCTGCTGGCGCGCCGGCCTTCCGCCTGGAAGGGAGGAGAAGGCCGAAGGTTTGTGCTGGCGCAGCGCGGGGGCGGCTCCAGTGATTCGCGTGTTCGTTCACTCAACCGGGAGTTTTTGTGTTAATTTAATTTTTATTTTATATTGGGGTATAGTTGATTTGGGCTTCCCTGGTGGCTCTGTAAAGAATCCGCTTGCCATGCAGGAGACAGGGGTTGGATCCCTGGGTTGGGAAGATCCCCTGGAAAAGGAAATGGCATCCCACTCCAGTATTCTTGCCTGGAGAATCCCATGGACAGAGGAGCCTGGCGGGCTGCAGTCCACGGGGTCGTAAAAGTCTTAGCAACCAAAGAACAACAGTAGTTGGTTGACCATGCTGTGTTAGTTTCAGGAGAACAGCACAGTGATCCAGTTACATATATATATATATATATATATATATATATATATATATATATCTCAGACATATATCCATTCTTTTTTAGATTCTTTCCCCATATCTGTTATTACAGAATTTTGTAAAAAATATGTATTTACTTATTTATTTGGCTGCACAGGGTCTGAGGTTCAGAATGCTGGATTTTTTACCTTTGTGTCACATGGGATCTTTTAGTTAAGACATATGGGATGTAGTTCCCCAACCAGAGATTGAACCCAAGCCCCCTGCATTGAGAGCACGAGGTCTTAGCCACTGGACCAGGGAAGTCCTGTTATCACAGAATACTAAGTAGAGTTCCCTCAACAGGGATTTAACTGTATGTTGTGCATGCTAAATTGCTTTAGTTGTATCTGACTCTTTGAGACTCTGTGGACGGTAACCCACCAGGCTCCTCTGTCCATGGGGATTCTCCAGGCAAGAATACTGGAGTGGGTAGCCTTTCCCTTCTCCAGGGGATCTTCCCAACCCAGGGATCCAACCCACATCTCTTACGTCTCCTGCATTGGCAGGTGGGTTCTTTACCACTAGAGCTACCTGGGAAGCTCTAACTGTAGGTTAGTTAACACACAAAAATGGGAAGACGGTGGGGCTTAAGAGCATGAATTTCAGCACTGGGGAGGCCTGAATATAAACCTGTCTCCTCCCCAACCCCCATCAGCCCTCTGCCTTCCGGGAGCACAGAGTCCACCACATCAGAGCCTCTCAGCCCCACCATGCCTACAAGCTGCCTGGGCAATTTGTTAGCATGCAGATTCTCTGGTGGCTCCGTGGTAAAGAATCTGCCTGTGATGCGGGAGACTTGGGTTCAATCCTTGGATTGGGAAGATCCCCTGGAGAAGGGAATGGCTACCCACTCCAGTATTCTGGTCTGGAGAATCCCATGGACAGAGGGGCCTGGCGGGCTACAGTATATGGCTCACAAAGAGTCAGACATGACTGAGCGACTAACACTTTCACTTCACTTTCTGGTGCAGCAGGTCTGGGCTGGGGCCTGACGGTCTGCATTTCTGAGAAGCTCCCAGGGAATGCCGATGCTGCTGGCCCATGGACCACACTGTGGTGAGCGGTACGAAGAAAGCCCGACCTCCTTTTACAGGTGAGGGAACTGAGGCTCAGTGTGCAGGTGTTAGTGGCCTCAGGAAACACTGCTGTGCTCTCGTCCTCCCCCACCATACTCTTATCTACCTGTCCTCTCTGCCTCAGGGATCCTTGCTGTGTCTTTCCCCACCAAACAGGGAGCAGCCACGAGCCAACCCAGGGGCTTATCAATGAACCAACCTGGGGATTTATCAATGAAGCAAGTGTCAGAGCAGGTCTCTCCGAATCCAAAGCCTTTGCTCTTCAAAAAAAAAAACATTTCAAGTTGCCCAAACGATAAACAAAACCATCCTCTTGACTACGTGCTCGTCACCACGACCAGGCTCAGAAGGAAGCTTCTCTTCTGCTAAGTTAGTTAACGCAGGAAATGTGGCTGATCCTTGAACAATGCCGGTTTGAACTGTGGATCCACTTAATGTGTGGATTTGTTTTCAATAAATACCCATTCCTACACAATCCATAGTAGGTTGAATCTGTGGATGTGGACACTCAGGTACAAAGGGATGATTGCAGTTACAGCCTGATTTTCCACTGCTCGGAGGATTAGCGCCCCAGCCCCCAAGTTGTTCAAGGGTCAACTGTAAATGAAGCTCCTCCGTGGCTTGAAAATCTGGGCAGCCCCGGAGGGAGGCTGTCTTTCCTGCCCTCCCCACTCCACAGCCTCCCCAGTCCCTCTCAGCTGCAGGGCTGAAGCCCCCCCTGTCACCTCTCACCTGAGCTCGTCTCCAGGTTCATCTCAAGGCCCCTGCGGTGGGCGCTCAGCTCTCTGGGGTCTTCTGAGGGGAACGTGACTGCTGCCATGGTGCCTGGCTCGGCACTGGCAGAGGAAGCCGTTTTCGGCAGCCGTGTCCAGAATGCGGGTCCTCACCCAAGGACCAGACCTTTTATATTTACCAGATCCGGATCTGCTGAGTGAATTCCACCAGGAGCCACAGGAACTGGCCTGGAGCAGTTGGGGGATTGCTTTGATCAACGGGTTTATGTCAACAGGATTGCAGTCAGGTGGCTGGGAGGCAGGCCTTCTACCAAACACACAGTTTCTTCCAAGCTCAGCGGCTTCCTCCCTTGGGACGAGCCTGGGAACCGTCTCTTCCAGGCCTCAGTTTCCCGAACCTCAGTCATTGCCTGGCTGCATTCCCAGTTTTTAGCTGTTTTATTTATTATTTTTGGTCTCACCTAAGAGAAGGGGGCGGCAGAGGATGAGATGGTTAGATAGTGTCCCTGACTCAACGGACGTAAATTTGAGCAAACTCCAGGAGACAGTGGAGGACAGAGGAGCTGGGCCTCCTGCAGTCCATGGGGCCACAGAGAGTCAGACATGACTTAGCAACTGAACAGCAACAAAGAACTATATGGAATATTACTGACAACATGTCCTTGTCTTACTCTGTTTGAGCAGCGATAGATTAGGGGAATTAAGCCACAAATCTTTGATTACTCACAGTTCTGGATGGTGGGAAGTCCAAGATCAAGGTGCTTATCGATTCTGGTGTTTGGTGAGGACCTGCCTACTGGTTCATAAATAGCTATCTTTTAGCTGTGTCTTCACCTCACAGAAAGAGCAAGAGAGGTCTCTGGGATCTCTTTTTATAAGGGCACTAACCTCATCATAAGGGATCTACCCTCATGACCTAATTACCCCTCCCTAAAGAGCCCACTTCTTCAGTTCAGTTCAGTTCAGTTCAGTCAGTTGTGTCTGACTCTTTGTGACCCCATGGACTGCAGCACGCCAGGCTTCCCTGACTATCACCACCTCCCACAGCTTGCGCAAACTCATGTCCATAAGTCAGTGATCCCATCCAATCATCTCATCTTCTGTTGTCCCCTTCTTCTCCCACCTTCAGTGTTTCCCAGCATCAGGGTCTTTTCCAGTGAGTCAGCTCTTCGCATCAGGTGGCTAAACTATTGGATCTTCAGCTTCAGCATCAGTCCTTCCAATGAATATTCAGGACTGACTTCCTTTAGTATGAACTGTTTGGATCTTGCTGTCCAAGCGACTCTCAGGAGTCTTCTCCAACACCACAGTTCAAAAGCATCAATTTTTCAGTGCTTAGCTTTCTTTATAGTCCAACTCTCACATCCATACATGACTACTGGAAAAACCATAGCCTTGACTAGATGGACCTTTGTTGACAAAGTAATGTCTCTGTTTTTTAATATGCTGTCTAGATTGGTCATAACTTTTCTTCCAAGGAGTAAGCATCTTTTAATTTCATGGCTGAAGTCACCATCTGCAGTGATTTTGGAGCCCCTAAAAATAAAGTCTGTCACTGTTCCCATTGTTTCCCCATCTATTTGCCATGAAGTGATGGGACTGGATGCCATGATCTTAGTTTTCTGAATGTTGAGTTTTAAGCCAACTTTTTCACTCTCCTCTTTCACTTTCATCAAGAGGCTCTTTAGTTCTTCTTTGCTTTCTACCATAAGGGTGGTGTCATCTGCATATCTGAGGTTATTGATATTTCTCCCGGCAATCTTGATTCCAGCTTGTGCTTCATCCAGCCCAGCATTTCTCATGATGTACTCTGCATATAAGCTAAATAAGCAGGGTGACAATATACAGCCTTGACATACTTGATGTTTCCCGATTTGGAACCTGTCTGTTGTTCCATGTCCAGTTCTAACTGTTGCTTCTTGACCTGCATACAGATTTCTCAGGAGGCAGGTTGGGTGGTCTGGTATTTCCATCTCTTTCAGAATTTTCCACAGTTCATTGTGATCCAGACAGTCGAAGGCTTTGGCATAGTCAATAAAGTAGAAGTAGATGTTTTTCTGGAACTCTCTTGCTTTTTCGATGATCCAGCAGATGTTGGTGATTTGATCTCTGGTTCATCTGCCTTTTCTAGGTTTCAAAATATGAATTTTTGGAGGATGTAGTCTATCTACAGCATCTTTTAGGTCAATCAAATTTTAAGTCAATTTTTTCTTTTACTGAAAAAGAGAAATATTTGTCTACTGAAAAAAAATGTACAGCCTAAAGTTCAGAGTTATGTTTTTTCAGTGGATTTACTGAGGACTTAAGTCCAAGAGAAAACCTGATTGAAAGAGGTAAGTGTAGAGCCAGGATATATAGGAGTTAAAAAAAAATAACCAAACCAGGTAGTTGAAACATCAAAAGATTACTGTCAGGGACTTCCCTGGTGGTCTAGAGGTTAAGACTCCCAGCTTCCAATGCAGGGGGCTCAGGTTCGATCCTGGGTCAGGGAATGAAGATCCTACATGCTGTGCAGTGTGGCCAAAAAATAAAAAAATAAAAGAAAAAGATTACTGTTAATTAAAGAAAATCAGACATGTCACATTAGTGAATTTAGTGCTTTTATATGTATGGGAAGATGCACGAGTTTGGGCTTATTGAAATTATTCCTTTAACATGCACCTTAACTATCCTGTTTTTCTCCCTCCTGAATCCCGTCAGGGTGCACCCTTGGGGTGATTGCAGTGGTGGCTGGCTTGTTGGTTGCAACATTGTTTGTTTACTGACAAGGCAGGTGACATTCTTTGTTGTAGTACTACTATAAATAAATATGTATGGTAGAAGATGCTACCCCAAAGAAGCCCATGCCCTAATCCCCAGAACCTGTGAAAATGTTACCTTACACAGCAAAAGAAACTTTTGCAGGTGTGATTAAGGGTATTCCCATCCTGACACCAATTCTGATGATTGCTTTTTTCCATATTACCAAGCAGTTAACATTTTCCTGACATTGCCTACCTGGAGATTGCTTCAGATTTCACAGATTAAGAGGTCAGTCCTACAAGACTGCCTCTGGCACAGACACCAATCACAAGTCCTGGTTGTCAGATGGGTTTCTGACCTACAGATGGGAGGGTCCCAAAACACACTCCTTGGATTCTATTAGTTTGCTCGAGCGGATCAGAGAAACTCAGAGAAATGTTTTGCTTATCAGATTGCCAGTTTCTTATAGAACTCAGGGGACTTCCCTGGACTCAGGGGACTGTCCACTGGCTAAGACTCCACACTCCCAACGCAGGGGGCCTAGGTTCAATCCCTGGTCAGGGAACATAGATCCCCCATGCCACAACTAAGCATTCGAATGCCACAACTTAAGTTCCTGCGTGTTGCAGGGAAGATGAAAGATCCCACATGCCCCAACTGAAAATCCTGTATATCTCAATGAAGATCAAAGATCCCACATACTGCAACTAAGACCTGGGCAGCCTGAATAAATAAATAAATATATATACATTTAAAAGACTGTAACTCAGGAAGAGCCAGATGGAAGAGATGTACAGGCAAGCTGTGTGGGAAGGGCAAGGAGTTTCCACGACCTTTGAGAATGCCACTCTTCCCCAATCTCCACGAGTTCACCAACCCAGAAGCTCTCAAAACCCTGTTCTTTAGGGTTTTAATGAAGGCTTCAGTGCATAATCATGATTGATTAAACCATTGGCCATTGTTGGCCACGAATCTCCAGTCCCTGTCACTCTCTGAAGGTTGGTCAGTGGGTGGGACTGACGCTTCCAACCCTCTAACCCAGCGCTTGGTTCTCCGGCTTCCCTGCTTAGGTGCTGTTGTTCTTGTTCAGTGTCCGACTCTCTGAGACCCCATAGACTGCAGCACACCAGGCTCCTCTGTCCTCCGCTATCTCCCAGGGTTTACTCAAATTAATGTCCCTGGAGTTGGTGAGGCTATCTAACCATCTCATCCTCTGCTGCCCCCTTCTCCTTTTGCCTTCAATCTTTCCCAGCATCAGGGACTTTTCCAGTGAGTTGGCTCTTCACATCAGGTGGATGTAGGGCCTTTCTAAGAGTCACCTCATTATGACAACAAAAGCCACCCTTTCCCCTCTTCTCAACTGGGAAATTCCAAGGCTGGTAGGAGCTCTGTGCCAGGACCCAGTAGGAAGACCAAATATGCATTTACTTAACAGATCTGGGTTCAATCCATGCATCAGGAAGATCCCCTGGAGGAAGGCATGGCAGTTCACTCCAGGATTCTTGCCTGGAGAATCCCATGAACAGACGAGCCTGGTGGGCCACGGTCTGTAGGGTCGAAAAGAGTCAGACACGACTGAAGCTACTTGGCACGCATGTATTTACAGCGGTATGGACTTTGATGTAGGGATATTGGGTGGATTATCTAAGTGAATACACCCTAATCACACTAGTCCTTAAAATGGGACCGTTTTCCAAGCTGGGTTAGAGAGATGTGACAATGGGACAAGGCCAGAATGAAACAAAATGAGAGACTCAGTCTGCCATCGATGGTGTTTAAAGACAAACCAGGACATGGTAAACATTTTAAGAGTTTATTTGAATAAAAACTGACTTCAATCAGGTAGCATCCAATGTAGAAGATAGAAAGGAACTCTGAGTAGTTGTACAAAGGCAGAAAGGAGCAGAATTGGAAGTTACACTAGGCAGGAAAGTGGGTTGGTTATCGCAAGGTTACTTTCCCTTTGGAGACAGCAAGGGTCCATCAGGCACCTAACTAGTGCCAATCAGGTGATTCCTGATTGACTAGTTTAAGATTCCACTTCTGGAGGAGCCAAAGCCTTCATGAAGCTAAATCTTCGTTTGGTGACGTGAAGCTTAGTGTAAGCAATTGTTGTGTTGTTTAGGGCTGGTTTGTTTAGATTGAAGTATCGTTTATTTACAGCTTTGTGTCAGTTTCAGGTTTGCAGCTTTGTTGCTGTTTAGCCGCTGGGTTGTGTCCAACTCTTTTGTGACCCCATGGACTGTAGCCTGCAGGGCTCCTCTGTCTGTGGAATTTTCTAGGAAAGAATACTAGAGTGGGTTCCCATTTCCATCTCCAGGGGATCTTCCCGACCCAGGGATCGAGCCGTGTCTTCTGCGTTGGCAGGCAGATTCTTTACCACTGAGACACCAGGGAGCCCAGCAGATGTGAAGCATCGTTCCTCAAAACCCATAACCCTGGTCTAATTGTGAGAAAAACACTGGAAAGATCCAAACTGAAGGACATTCTGCAAAATACCCATTTAGTACTCCTCACAGTGTCAAGATCGTGACAAATAAGGAAAGACTGAGAAAATATCACAGACCAGAGGAGGCTGAAGGAGACGTGATGACTACATGCCATGTGGAATCCTGGGCTGGATCCTGGAAAAGAGAAAGGGTAATAACAGGAAAACTGGGGAAATCCAAATAAAGCCTGGAATTTAGTGAGTAGTCACGTACCAATGTTGTTTCCTTAGTTTTAACAAATGTTCCATGGTCACGTAAGATGTGAACAGTGGGGAAACTGGGTGTGGACTGTACAGGGACTCTCTGCATTAACTCTGAAGCTTTTCAATAAGCCTAAAATTATTTAAAAATTAAAAAGTATTTTTAAAAAGTTAGTGGGGAAGACTCTCATTGGACGCTAGTGGAGGTAACCGGGACACCTCATTTCTCTGATAATTCAAAGGAAATGAATATCAGGAAGACAGTGCAAGTGAGGGTCTGGAGAATTTGGAATCCTCTTAGATTACTAGTGGGATTATTAAGTGTTTCAGTCACTTTGAGTGGGGCGAATAAATTAGGAATTTGGATTAACAGATACACACTATTATATATAAAATATATTAGCAGTGAGGACCTCCTGTATAGCACAGGGGACTATGTTCAATGTTTTGTAACAATCTATGATAAAAAGTAATCTTAAAAATAATATGTACGTATGTATAATTGAACCACTGAAACACTGTAAATCAATTGTAATTCAGTTTTTAAAAGTGGTGCTGTCATCTTGGAAAATAATTTGGCAGTTTCTCAAAATGTTAACGATCGAGTCATCATAGGCTTCCCTGGTGGCTCAGTGGTAAAGAGTCCGCCTGCAAATGCAGAAGACGTGGGTTTGATCCCTGATCCGGGACGATCCCACGTGTGGCAGAGCAACTAAGACCGCGAGCCACAGCACTTTGCTCCTGAGCCCTGGTGCTGAGATTCTTGAAGCTGGCGCACCCTGGAGCCCGGGCTCCACAGAGACGCCGACACAGTGAGATGTCCCAGCACTGCAGTGAAGAGCAGCCCAGCAGTAACCCAGCACAGCCAGAAAGAAACAAGTTTTCAAAAAGACCCACAAAAAATCCTGTAATATGGAGCTTATGTTCCAGTATGATGAATAAAAAAATAAAGGACATAGTGCTTAACAAAGTTATCATAAGACCCAGCAATTTGACTCAATATGTATACCCAAGTAAAAACACATCCGCACAAAACTTGTACACAAATATTCATGGCATCGTTATTCACAACAGCTTCACTTGTGGCTCAGCTGGTAAAGAATCCGCCTGCCATGCAGGAGACCTGGGTTCAATCCCTGGGTTGGGAAGATCCCCTGGAGAAGGGAAAGGCTACCCACTCCAGTACTCTTGCCTGGAGAATCCCATGGACAGAGGAGCCTGGCGGGCTGCAGTCCACGGGGTCGCAAAGAGTTGGACACGACTGAGTCACTAAGCACAGAGTGAAAAGGACTCCAATGTCCATCAGCTGTTGAACAGATAAACCAAATGTATATTCATACAGCAAGATACTATTTGACTGTAAAAAAGAGTGACGTACTGATACATGTTACAATGTGGATGAAGCTTAAAATCTAAGTGAAAGAAGCCAGTCATTAAAGACCACATGTTGTTTCATTCCATTTTATAATTTTATATAATGTCCAGAATAGGCAAAGCTGTGAAGACCAAAAGTAGATTAGTGGTTGTCAGAAGTTGGGGGAAGGAAGAAATGGGGTTTGGCAGAGTGATGAAAATATTCTGAAATTAGATAGCAGTGTTGGCTGTGCAACTGTTAATATACTAATAACCAGTGAATTTTATACTTCAAGATGGTGGATTGCAATGATAGGTTTATAATCTCAATAGAGCTGTTATCTTTTAAAAAATGAGCGCTATCCTATCTTCCCTGATGAACTGTTTTTCTAGAAAATAACGTGGCCCTGGATGAGGGAAAGCTCTTGTTTACAGAATTTCAGCTAATGTGGAAAGAATGATAGGATCAGAAATGCATCATTTTACAACCTCTAATGAAGTTACTGACTCAGACAAGCATCTTCAAAGGAAGAAAGTACTACGGAAGGTTGATGAGAAACTTTCCAAAAAAGAATCAGGCCGCTGCCACTCAAACCACCCAAACCACCCATTTTATCATCACTAAAGGATCAGGAAAAAGCTCTGGAGGAGGGCGTGACAACCCACTCCAGTATTCTTGCCTGGAAAATTCCATGGATAGAGGAGCCTGATGGGCTACAGGTCATGGGGTCTCAAAAGAGTCAGACACAGCTGAATACACACAACAACACACAAAACACTCAACAGCAATTAGGAAGCCTTCTTACCAAAAAAAATTGGATCTGAGCCTAGTTAGGCATCTATAGCTATTTTACAGGAAACCGGACAAAGGAACTAATTACAAGACAGCATAAGGAAGGAAATAGAAAAACCCAGAATGTGGGTCATTCTATAGGACAAGTGACCCCATTTCTGCAATGAAGCAATGAAATGGCAATGAAACAAACAAACAAACAAAAAAAGATAAAAAAAAACAAAAAAATGAGACAAGGAGAAAAGATTACTTTGGAACAAAAGTGACTCAAAAGCCAAAACTAACTGTTGACTAAAAAAGATGCACAACTTGAAAGTTGCGAGTGAAGTTTTATTTGGGGCAAAAAGAGAACTGCGGCCTGGGAGGCGGCACCTCAGACAGCTCTGAGAGGCTGCTGCAAAGCAGCTGCGGGGAAGGCCGGTGTATAAGGCTTTGTTGAAAGGGGAGTTCAATACCATTAGGCACTCATTTTACAAAAGGTTTTTGTTAGCCATGAGAATCTGATGTCACTATGAAGGGATTTAGTGCTTCTCTAGAAATGAGGAGATGCAAGGATTGAGGTCATAAAATCTGTTCCTAAAAACATCCAACCATCTAAAGACCTGTTCCACCAGATCCCCTGGAGCACAGAGTGCCTGAACTCCCTCAGGGATTGCTGAAGGTCAACACAGAGGCAGATGGCAAATGCCTTTGTTGTTCAGTTGGCAATGCTCTTGGTAAGTGCCAATTTGTAGCTGACAAAGCAAACCCCCCAAAAACGCCCCACCCAATTGTTACTGCAGTGAAAGAGGACCTTGTATAAATCCTGGTTGGAAAAAATAGTAAAAAGATATTTCAAGACAATTAGGGAAATTTTGATTCTGGTTGGATATTAAATGATTCCAAAGAACATTTTGTTAGGCATGATCAGGGCATTGCATAAATGTGAGATCTTTTTAAAAGAATTGCACACTGAAATATGTAAAGATGGAATGACTTGATATCTAGGATTTGCTTTAAAACACTCCAGCAAATCTTTTTAAAAAGTGAGTAAGTGAAAGGACTTTCTTGGCCATCCAGTGGTTAAGACTCCATACTTCTGAAACAAAAGGAAAGGGAGAGGACACAGCTTTTGAGGGAATGACATAGCCCAAAGATACAACGTAGACTGATTAGAATCAAATGGGTCCAAGATGGCAGACTTGTTGACTTTGATTAGACCTTGATCCTCAGCCAGCAAGCTAGATGGCACACCCAGAGGAGCTGTGACAGTTCCAAGGCACCATCAAAGACCAAAAAGTCGGTGGTGGCCCAACTCCTGGAAATCTCCACCCCTTCCCCAAAGTAGTTGGAATAATCCTCCCACTCATTAGCCTATGGGCTTCCCTTGTGGCTCAGCTGATAAAGAATCTGCCTGCAGTGTGGGAGACCTGGGTTTGATCCCTGGGTTGGGAAGATCCCCTGGAGAAGGGAAAGGCTATCCACTCCAGTATTCTGGCCTGGAGAATTCCATGGACTGTATAGTCCGTGGGGTCAGACATGACTGAACGACTTTCATTTTCACTTCATAAGCTCTTAACCCTCCATCATTAAGCCTATGAAATTACCCAGTGCATAAAAACCAACCACACCACACCTCGGGCTGCCAGACTCACCCTCTGCGACGGCCCACACTCTCTCTACAGCGTGTGTTCCTTTCTAAATAAATCCCTTATTATCTGTCACCTTGTCTTTCACTGAATTCTTTCTGCAATGACATCAAGCTTCTTTAGGTCCTGAAACCAGGTACTGTGGGTTTTAGCTGGGTTCAAGTCCCAGCCACGTGGGTTAGAGTCCCAAAGTGGACTTTGGCTGAGTTCTGGTCCCAGCCACGTGAGTGATGCAGTTGCAAAGAGCCGGACAAGACTGAGTGACTGGACTGAACTGATATTAGTTCAAGTCCCAATCTAAGGTAATCAGTTTCACTTCCACTGCAGGGGGTGTGGGTTCGATCAGTGGTGGGGAAGGGGTGGGGTGGGGGGGGAAGAAGGGTATCTTAAGTACATTTAGCAAAAGTTAACTATAGAATCTGGGTGATAGATGTACAGAAAATATTTCACTACTCTGTGTTCTTTACAAAGTTTTCTTTTTTTTTTTTTTTTTAACAATCTTTAAAAATGTATTATTTTTGGCTCACTGAGTCTTTGTGGCTGCAGGTGGGCTTTCTCTAGTTGCGGTGAGTTGGGGGCGGCTACTCTTTAGTTGTGGTGTTCAGGCTTCTTATAGCAGTGGCTTCTCTTGTTGCAGAGCACAGGGCTCATTAGCTGTGAGCGTGCATGAGCTTAGTTGCCCTGAAGTATGTGGAATCTTCTTGGACCAGGGACTTAACCCGGGTCACCTGCTTTGGCAGGTGGATGCTTTACCACTGGACCACCAAGGGAGTCCCACAGAATTTTCAAAATGAAAAGGAGTTTACAAGTGTATGTCAACGGTGTGTGCCAAGGATGTCTGTGAAGAGTAAAGAAAACCATTACATGACAAGTGAGCAGAGAAAACATAAAAGTAGCATTTATAAATTAAAATACTGTTACATAATTCATGATTGTAAAATGTTTGTAGTCAGAATGATAAACTAAGTTGTATAAATAGACATTTGTCGGTTTATCTACAGTGTTTCAGGTTTATATCCTCAGGCTGGTCAACCAAATAAAAAAATTCTACTTATTCAGAAAATTCAAGGAAGCCCACGTGTAAATAGTGCCTGAGCATTGGGAAGACTTTAGGGTAGGGGGTGGGTGAGTTTTAGGCTGGAAGCCCTGGAGATGGCGAAG